GAACATCTGTCAAAACTGACGCACAGTGTTCAGCTGCGGAACTGGTTTTCGGAACAACTCTGAGACTACCAGGTGAATTTATTAACCCTAATACTAACAGTCAAAAACTTAATTTAGAAAATTATGTAGGTCAACTACGGGACCACATGTCTAAAATTAGGCCGATTAATACTCGTGAACAATCGCGCGCCGTATATATACCTAAAGACCTAGGCAATTGCACGCACGTCTGGATAAGATGTGACAAAATAAAAGCACCACTCAGTCCTCCATTTGAAGGTCCTTTCAAAGTCGTCTCAAGAAAATCTAAATATTTCGTGATAGAAAAACATGGAAACATCGACACAGTAAGTATTGATAAGCTAAAGCCGGCTTATCTAGATCATGAACCACCATACGTGTTGTTAGATCGTTTAACTAACAAATCCATTACGGAATCGAAATGTAAAGATAATAAATCTTTACAAATGACTAAAACGGTTCGCTGGGCACATCCAGTTAGTCAGTCAAGGATGTTGACAGTTTCGGCTGCAGGATAAAATCTAACCACGCAGCTAATCACACCCTGCATCTACTTAAAAATAATTTTTTTCCTCATTCTGCCTCACCGACAACTTCCCAGACCTTTTACCTTTGATATATACGTGTTATGTTAAATGTTTTTTTAAATACTAGACACATAAGCTAGGTATTCCGAAACCGTGGCTGAGGATTTTAATCAAACTCATACAACTAACACTGGCAAATACAACGAATTCAAAAAGCAACCCAGGCGAGTTTTATAATTTCTTTTTCTCGTTAATTAACTATGTTGGCTGTACTTCTTATATATCTATATACATTTTTCACGTAGACTGGCTATACATATATACCATATGAACTACTTCTAAAAGTTTTCGGTTGGGAATATGTTTAGTAGCTTGATACGATTAATACTACTATTAATAAGTAATTTTCTAGACAAAACATTTTGGATTAAACCATGGTCAAGTACTAATTAAAGTTCTCATCATTTTTTTTCATGTTTACGAAACTTACGTAATGACTTAACCAGTTTCCCTGCAGCATGCTTTTTAGTGTGATCGTATAACCCATCTTTATTGGCAATATTTAGGTTTTTTTAATTTCTGACATTTAAGAATCAATAACCGTGAAGATATAGTACAGTGCGTTACTGTAAGGTTACTATGTCAGCCGCATTGATTCCACATACCTAATTTTAAACAACTTATAAGGGAACTGTTTAGTAATCATAACATTGAACTGACAATATGAATATCACGACTATGCTAACGTTAAACCAATTATTATTAGTGGCCCATACAAAGTCCTGGAACTTAACATTAGCGTTATAAAAAAGACATTTTATGTCAATAACTGATATATATATATATATATATATATATATATATATATATATATATATATATATATATATATATATATATATATATATATATTCGTTGGTTTAAATATAACGTAAAATGGAACTTTATTAAACTTGTAGTTTTTTTTCTATAGTAATAATATTCATGTAAACAAAGAACTTATACTTTTCCAATATGGCACTTTGATATATCAGTCTGTCCTCTTGTCATTTTTTCTCTCATATGTGCGCGACGTACGAGCAACAAACATCGTATTGAAGATGGGTGTGGTGAACAAAAACGTAGGCCCCACACGCACTCGAACCTCTGCCCTCCTGAATGCTAGACCGCGTGCTTAGCCGTTAAGCCACATCAGACCGCGGAGGGAGTGACTTCAATATTTCCTTACACCAATTAATCACTCATAATACTAATGAGTAATAGGACTTACACACTTCTGAGGTGCAAACCAATTCGTTACTTGGATGAATTGACGATATATTGCTTCAATATATCATGCATACCTAAATCAAACAAGAAAACGGTATTTGACACAACTTTACTTGATCCGCATACTCTACACAATTTTTTTGCCTCTTAACCGTATATTCTTTTCCGTTTTGTGGAGTATTCTGACGCACCCTTGGTTACGCACCTAGTTGTAAAACGCGGTCATCACAGGCTCAAGGTCACGCGTTTGATCGATTTTGTTAAAGAGTCCAACTTCTAGCAAGTTCATCCTTTTACATATATGCATTACAAAAAAGTATTTTTTGTTTTCATGGTTTTTCGTACACAAGATATCTACACTATGTCTTTTCTCTTCCAGAATACCAATCCGTTCTGGAGACCAAGCACTTACATGGAACCGAACAATTATCAATTACATTTATGTATTTCCATTTTGTATCTTATCATTTTATGCAGGCAGTGGAGCAGTTCTTCAGGTTTGCTTGATTTTCACCATTACCTTTGAAGAAGATTCTTCTTTACTTTTTACTTGAGGGTAACTCAAGAGGCAGGTGAGTAAACACCTGATAGCCGGTCTGAGCATGGAAAAATCGTACCTCACCAACATGGTGTTGGGTAGCCCGCTCGCGGCACTTCCTCAGATATTCTTATTCCACATTCTCACACTTTCTCTTGAAAGCACGCAGCAAACCGTCGGCGATAGTTGTAGAAGAGATCACATGCTACAAAATAAGATGACAAGCTAGTAAAGAAGAGACATCCATGGACTATCGTTGACAGCGAGTTGATAATTTTCCCTTGGGATGAGGAATAGAACTAAGGTGTTTTCGATAGTTAGGTTAATCGAACCGACGTTCCTACGGAAGTCGATTCTAGGGGGAAGCTAATGTAACAGCTTAGGTTGGTTGGTTAAGAGTTGACCCCAAACAACCAAGCATATGCCAAAACAGTATTGTTCAAGTATCCATTCACTTCCTTGTTTTGTATAAGCTTTATATTCCCTATTATCTTATATTGAATGTTGAGAGCCTTTGTTTGTCTGAACAGATAGTCCCACGCTCCACTGTGACCGCGCTAAGATCGAAATAAAGACCTATTCACTACTTGTCTGGTTTCTTCTATCAATAGCACGAGGGTTACTTCAAGGCACGAAATACCTATTATGGAAACTTAGTACAAATCGCGAGCGTCTGACCACTTCTTAAACGTAGAAAACTACATCTCTCGATCCAACGGACGCCATACAATAGGAGGCGGCACAATTACGTATGTGCATCCGAACATTCCTGAGTGTAAGTTAAGAAATGAGTGTGTGGTGGACCAAACAATATATGAACTCAAAAATGATAACAGAGTTATTAAGTATAAATACTAATGTTAATATATCGGTTAAAATGTTATAAACACAACAAAAATTAGAGACGTTACTTAGTTCAGCAGGTTTGTGCGTGTTCTAATTGAGTCTGGTACCAAAATCCACAATCATAGATGATTGTAGATTCCAGTAAGTTTGATTTCCTCTCAGTGGTATAACCAAATGTAGAATATGATATATTGCGATTATAGTCTATAAATAGAGACAGTGTGGTGGTCCCCAAACAAAAGGAGCTTACACAAAATATTTTGATACTCTAGGTTAACACTGATATACCAAAACGAATTAATGATTAAGAAACCTAGATGTCTGTCCGTTAGTAAAAACAAAGGTAATAAAATACCGTTAGCAATACAAAAGGTATATTAAACAAACAGACGCTAACAGTTACTATAGAATGAATGTTACTTGTTAACTGCCTCGTGAGGACAACGACCACAAACTAAGTTCACTTGGTTGACAGGTGTTCCTCTGCAAGTGACTGCACCAAAGACGTAATGAGGAAGACGGAGTCCAATAGTATTATACAATAGTAATCCGTGCCAAAAGTCCAACGTTGAGTCGGAAGGCCTATAAGGATGTTATAATACTATTATAGTCTTCAATCACAACGGTGGCCAATAAAACAGAAGAACAAACGGCGTAGGTATTGTTCTATATTTTAAACAACCCGGTAGTAGAAGTGTACATCATTCATCGAAACAATTATCATCGTCTTTTTAACAAGTGATACAGCAAAACAACAGATATTGGATAAAAATGTGGTTACAAATAAAGTGTGACAAATTAGAGAAAAAATGTGGTTTTTATTTTTGTTGTTACAAAAATCACTGGATATATGTCACCATAACATTATTTGATTTAGAGTTCAGTTAACACAATCACGAGTGAATGGCGAACAAGAGGTATGTGCATAGCAGTGTATATGTTAGCAGTTAACAGAGTGTGTCATGCTATGAATGTAATAGGATGGAAGAAAGTGTTTCTAAGGTCATTCACTTAAACAACACGTACAATCATTTAATGATAAATGTGCATATAATAAGAACTTGACAGAATAAATACAAATAACATCAAAAACTATTCACAAATCAAGCTTATCAGGCATATCTCCACAAGTGTACTGAATCTATAGATGACTCTACTTGGGTTACCGTAAACTGTAGATTGCAAACCTATCTACTATTGTAATGTATATACCGATCACTTCATGCAGATACTAACTTTCATAGATTGTCAGCAAACATATTTTTCATTGTTCTGCACAAACCTTATACGTTTAAAATCGGCAGAGGTGATTTTAATCGACTGAACATTACATAGGATTTGCATTTGGTACGAGGGTGAATGATATTTGGATCTTATTGCAATATCACGGTCACAACTGAGTACTTGATTAAAAAGGACTACGGATCCAAAGAAGTTTATTACAGATATTCAGAAAGAGAAACTAAATTACAGTAGAGGAAGAAGAGAGTTAGACTAATAAAGATTCTCGATGCATAAAAGCAAACTTTAAATTCACGACCCTTAAAACGTCAAATATGAGTTAAGTAATATGTAACGGAGCTTCTGTGTGTTTGTTTACTTCGTGAGAATTAACTTTGAAGGCGTAATCTTTTTAACCCATTCTCTACATGACTAGTAAAGGACTACTAAGTTTGAGAATCTGATAAATTAATCAGCACCCTCTTGTATTAAGAAAAAGTCGCCGAATCTGAAGTGACAGCTAGGACAAATTACATTACTATTACTTCCGCAACAATAAGACATTTGGGATACACATGGTTGAATTATTGGTTCTTGGAGTGAAAGTAACGAAGTGACGAAAACATTGCAAGTAACCAGAGGAAGGAATAAAAACGAATTTCAGTATTGTGTACAACTCGACATCGTGTATCGGTTTGTTTTTCTTATCCAAATAATTAGGTCATTGTACATTATGGTAACCAATGTATACAGCATGAATTTCGCATTAAATGGAGATGGTGAGGCAGCTTTCCAAATAACAAATTTTCAGTCACATGAACACCATAAGAAGTCATTTTTTACTTTTCGGTGCTTATTTAGTATTAAGTGAACTGAAGTCTACTGACTTTTGTTATCATCCAAGACAATAGTCTCACTATAGTAAAACTATATATATATATATATATATATATATATATATATATATATATATATATATATATATATATATATATATATATATATATATATATATATATATATATATATATATATATATATATATATATATATATATATATATATATATAGTGAATTTGAGAACTTGACCCCATAATATTTTAGTGTAGTCGACACCGGTTCGTGATGAAAACCCTAATTGTGGTTTCAAGCACAGAAGGTAAACGTCCACGTAGGTACCTTCTGTTATCTTATTTGAGTTGGTCTGCAGACCCATAAGATTTCAATCTCACTATCTTGTGGAAAATCAGGGGTTTTCCCCAAATATGACAGTTTCCCCAAAACTATAAAGAAAAAACCCAAAGTGTTATAGAATTCTGCGGAAATTTTATGGAAAACTCAGAATTTCCCCAAACATTTTGGGGACTTTCCTTAGACAGGAAGAATTTGCGATTTTTGTGCTACTTCCGAAACTTTCCCTGAGCCGGAACAAATGTTCCCCAAAATAGGGAGATTGGAGAAGGACAACATATATAGGTTATGTATAATCTCTTCTGATATTAGATTAAAAGGGTAGAACTAGAGTTAATTAACTCTAGTTCCTTCCCGAGCTGCCAGCTTTGGGGGAATTTTGGGGTTTGAGTCTCATTTCCCCCAAATTTCCTCAAAATTTACTATAGTGGCTTTCCCCGAATTTCCCCAAAATGGGTCAAATTTTCCCCAAAATTGGCAGCTTGCGTTATAAGGAACAACATTGAGTGACTTTAAGCAAGTTGTGAATTCTCGACCACTTGCCTAGATCAAATAAAGGTTAAGAATTAGCTGTAGGGATCAAGATTAAGAGTTAGGGTTAAGAGTCAGAATAACAAGCAAAATAGGGAAGTAAAGACGACCTTTAGAGAAATACTGTGGATACTTCACAAGCAGGGTTGATGTGAACTTAGGCAAAAATGCATCCAGTTGTTGAGTTTTTCTTGGCCCCTGTGGGAAATGTCTCAAAATCAATACCCTAACTTTCGCTTGAGTGAACAACATGAGTCTTTTTTTACCCACAATTGGACGCAAAATTGCCTATTTATCCGATACATTTAAACTAATTGGTTTACCTACAGTCTAAATGTCAAGCAATTTAGCTTACAATTATGCAATAAGAAGACGTAGTTTATCAGAATTATGTGATATATTTGCTCAATACATTTCGAACAATCTGTATTGAGCAAATATATCACATAATTCTGATAAACTACGTCTTCTTATTGCATTATCGAAATTTATCAAATGGACTAATTGTTTTAAATTTAGCTTACGCTCGGTTCGCATATTTTTATCCAAAGTTAACTCTGAATAGTCTGCTAAGGTTTTCCATTAATTCCACAGGCCAAATAAATTTTCACTGCAGTCAGCGTTATTTAAATAGTGATTTGTATGAGAAAAAACATTCATTTAAATGAATTACAGCTAAAGTTTCCAAAACTATTTACATCTAGGTATCAGTCTAATATCAACATTGTATCCGACAGAAATGATTATTTTTAATCGCAGTATAAAAAACAGAAAAGGTTTAGTTTATGCGAGGGTTTTTAACTATTTATATATTTATTAGGTATTTGTCTTCTTTCAAAAGAAAGACTAATTCATATAATATTTTATCTGCTACGTCTAATTTATTTCAACTCCCTAAACCCAATTGAGAATGTGGATGTATGTTCAAAAAGTGTTTGTCTAACAGAAACTCATAACAATATGGAAAACGGGAACAATAAAAGCGTACAAGTTAACCGTCCCTCGGTGATTAATAAGGAGCACTATTCTCGTCACTTAAATTCCGAAATGGAACTGCAATCAACAATTGTTGAAAGATTTTTGCAAAACTTCTCAAGAAATTAGGGTTAGGGTTGTCGATGGAAGTAAAAAGTTTGGACGACATAGAAAACAATTTTGTATATGAGACGAATTACGATGAGAAGATAATACAACTTTGATTGGTACACAGGTTCAACGCAAATAATAAATATCTATATACGAATTATTAGGGTGTTAGTTACAAGCTGATATCAGCTTCATTTCGGAAATGAATGTTAGACCGAAATCTGATTGATATATTTTACTTGTACCAAGTTTCCATTACTGAATGATGTAGGCTATAACGCAATAACTCTGCTTAGCTATATAGATGAATGAATTTCGTTGACGAATTCAAGAGGCTGTATCTGAAATCTGATTGGTTCATCTCTATACTTTAGTTTCCCCTAGCACATACACTGCATAATATTATTGATCGTTCTTGCATTGTGAGCTTACCCTCTGTATTATGTTTTTTGCCACAAACTTATTGGAAGACTAAGAGACGTTATATCAAATTAGACGTCATTTATCAATGTCTTGTATATCATGACTGTATTGTTTTTAAATTTGTGGTGAAACAGTGTAAAGATATGAATTTTATAATCATTTATCATGTGATGTTCTAAGCATATCAGGTAAACACATATTTAGGACTATTCTAAAATCTTTCTGGGAGGACAAAACTATCTTTCAGATAGGACGTTGCAACCTGCGTATTGTCTCCATTCTTGAATCTCATCAGTGCTATAATAGTGAGAACGTTTCGTAGCATTTTTATCTTTTTAGGAGTTATTCGTTTCTCCCGTACTGTTCTAAGGCTGTGGAATTAGCACTTGTATAGATTGCGGCTGAAAATATTGAAATTTTTGCGTCTGCCTAAAAAGAACTCCAGCAGTCATGGATGGACTAGAGTGAAAATTAAAGAAAAAACCGTGAGGACATCAGTGGAATGTGCTGGTTATGCACAATGCAGCTAATACTTACGAAATGTTTATCTGATGCTAAAGGCACTACAAACATTTATCTGCAACCGAAATTTGGTAGATGGACGTGTTCAAAGCTTAATTTGATTTAACCTCAAATTTATGATTAATTGCTGAAATGCTTTAATTATTTTACCGGTAATGCCACCTGGGTTTTCCATGTACATGAAGTTGGTGCCACATTTATAAGTATTACTTATATCTCAGCTCAGTTGAGCAGTGTTGATATAAGATTGAATAGCTTGCAATTCTTAGTTAGTCCCTGCTCCTGCTATAAAGTGGTACGGCAGATTCCACGTAATAATACTTTACGTTCAGACAATAAAGAGTAGACCTTGCAATCTGAGCCTTCAAGCTCCGTTTGGAGTTTTAGAGCAGATTCCTAAATCTTTAAAAAGGTCGGCCTGTCACTTCGGCAGACCAATAAGGAGGAGAATCTAAAAATGACGACTGTATGGTCACTTTCCGGACATGTGGAGGATAGCATGTTTGACTGATGCTGTGAAATGGACCAAGAACTGATTCGAAGTGTTAAAATACGCACCGATGTTTTAAAAATTATGTTCTGAGTAAGGACTAAGAAAATGGTTGACTTGAGAAAATTAGTTCGTCGATGATCACACTTAGAGATATTTTTAATCAGTACAAGGTACCATAAAGTCACTTCAAATGTGAATCGTGTACCTATCAAAGGAAGCTAGACGTTCATCAAAGTGTGATTCGCATGACCTACACTCAAGGTTTTGGTAGACTAAGACTAATACAATGTCATGACTTGAGTCTCTACGGATTTTATGTCTAATCGTTTTTATTGGTATGAAAGATTTAAGTGGATACGCTAACCGACATATTTCAAAGAACACTTGCTATGATTTGCAATCCACAACAATGAATTAATTTGAAAGTTTGGTACCTTAGTGTATTACTTCTGAAGATTAATGCTAAAAATAAGTTTGTATTCAGTACATCATACTGAAGTTTACATTTTTCCAATACATGCTTTCAGTTTCAAACACTGCTTTCAACAAAATTTAGATAGACGAATTGTATTGACGGTTTCTGCGACCTATACATCAAGTCACCAGCATTTGAGTGATGTAGTGGCTGAAATCGAGAAGGAACATTAGACGATTTAACTGAAGAAGAAAGTACATTTCATTAATCAAAAAAACAACTAAACTGAGTGAATGAATGGAATGTATTATATTAAACAGAAATATCAGATGGGTGTCTGTATAGCTTCATCTTATCATACAGATAAATTTAGCACTCCGTTTAACATGTGCCACAGTAAGTTTTTATACATTTTCTGGGAAATAAAGTCACGGAAAATATGAAGGGTGTTTATGGAATTCATTGTCCTAAAAGACAACACCATAAGGATAAAATTAGACGGTCTTTCAATACATTTCGTAAAATTGCAGATAAATGATGAAAAAGAACATGGGCTTCCTGCTTTGTTACGTTTTCCCGGTAGCGTTCTATATCTCTTAAAAAAATAGTACCAACCTAAATAAATAAGTCGAATTGTGAATAAAAAGCAATTTATGGCGACTCAATGTCAAAAGGCACAACATAGTTGTAAGAAAGAATTATATAAAGTAAACAAAGGGCCTTAAATACCCGGCTCCAGTAGAAAATAAGGACATCGATGTCTAGCTTAAAATAACTCACATGACATTTTATGAAGATCTAGTCGGAAGTTCATAAAGAAAAAGAGGATATCGGTCGTGGGTAACCAGTATATTTGTTCGAAGAGGAAAATAGACAAAAGAGAAATTGCTTGTCTGGCTAGAAGCAAGCTGATAAAAGTAGCGCATGTGAACTGTGAGTTGCCAAGATGAAGCTGACACTTTACCATATAATCTAAATTTGTTATTTTTAGAAATAAAAGCTTCTCTAGTCAGTTTTTTAAGTACTCCACCTGAGAGAGATTGAAGTTAAACGAATGTTTTTTTAACTTCCTAAAATATGGAGTTGTACATACTTGAGTTGTTGTTGGGATATTCAGGAAAATATCCCAAAAACAATTATCCGGTTAAGTTTAATGCTACCCTTGAACGTTAAGTGGTGTCACTTCCCTATTGGTCGTTTCCCTACTAGTCAATATTTATTTCACAAGTTGAAATCATGAGTCAGTTGAAGCTAGACCACCATTGAAAACCTGGAAGCACTGGACGGCCGTTTCGTCCTAGTATGGGACTCCTCAGCAGTACGCATCCACGATCCCGCACCACGCGGGGCTCGAACCCAGGATCTACTGGCTTCGCGCGCGAGCACTTAACCATTAGACCCTTGAGCCGGCATCCAACGGTGTTAATGTCTAACTTCAACCAATCCACGAAGTTGCGCCATCGAACACCAATGTCTTCAGTGAGCTGATATCTCACAACAGACCTGGTTGAACTCCACTGGTGACGGCTTCTCACTAGAACTCCAGAAGTGTCTCCTGAAGTCAGTCACTAGCTTCAACTGACTCATGATTTCAACTTGTGAAATTTACTAAAATCTCCACAAAACTCATTCTGACAATATTTATTTCGCGTGTCATTTCCCCATTGGTCAATATTATTTCACGTGTCATCTTTCCCTTGATCAATATTTATAGTAATCCTAACTGTATAAATATGCATTTGTTTGTAAATCATTATTCTTCTCCTGACCCCATAAACAACTTTTCATCTACGGTTCGTGTTCTGTTATATTGGAGATTCGGAACAGTATTGGGGTCGAACTGGGATATCTGAAGCTGGTCAATCGGTAGAATTTAGAGTAGCCACCTCGCGATTCACAATAGTTGTTCAGTGGTACACGAGACTAGTTAAAATTAAAAACATTCGAATCGATGAAACTAGTATTAAAAATTCAATATTAAGCATAGATTAGCTAACACTGATCACTTTGGTGTAGCCAGTTAAATCTAATTACTTTCAACAATATGGACTTAGTCAACTACTAACTGAAGTGCAAAGACTAAGCTTATTTCGGAAAATAATGGTAATTTATAAATGATATGACAACATAAATATTTCATATTTATAAATTGATGTATGGATTAATACCAGTTCATTTTGAAGTTTAGTGTTACTTAGCTTGACAAATGCATATCATTTACCTAACATTTTTTTATTTAATTAGAAAATAAATACCGAAGTTAAATCATTCAATCATTCAATTTCACTAATGGATTCATCATCATTTCAAGATGCACTCAACACTGATCCAGAATTAACATTCGATGATTTACCGATGCCATTTAAAATGTTAGACAAATTATTATGGAGCATATTTGAGGAAACATGGAATTTAATTGAAACAAAAGAGAAATATAAAAGTGAGCAATTCAATTTCCAACAATCATGTTTACAAAAACTGGATGTGAATATGGTAGGTTGGAAATGAAATTTGTTCTTAACGAAGTTACTGATAATAGGACATTGAGAATATTCACATATTTACAATTGTCGGACAGTATTTATTTAAAATATTTGAAAATCAAATTATTGTATATGATGTAAACAGTTTGAAATTGATTTCGGAGTGGAAGTATTTGAATGGACTTAACAGTTGCAGCGTAATACGTACATTTAAAACAATTCAATACGATAAAAATGTTATTTTGCAGCTTATTATAAATGACTCAGGTAATATAAGTATTATGTAATGCTTTTGTTACAGATAAAATAAACATTTATAATTGAACGGTAAACTTTTGATCCTTAACTTAGTTAAGTTTTTAACTTATTGGTTTGACTGAATAGTTACTAATTGTGTTATACAAATGTTTCTGTTTAATGACCGTATGTTACTAAATCCCTCCTTGCTTACAAGTGACTAAACATTTCCTTATCCGGAAGACATTATTACATACCATCTCAAAAGTATTTTGTTGCCTGTAAATTGTTCTCTATTCATATCACTGGTCAAAATACCGTGATTTCTATCATTCCCTAATGATTGAAGTACTGTGATTTATTTGAAAGTTGGTCCTTCTTCTATTTTTTTGAATATCCACTAAATATTATTGGCCCTTTATTTAGTAATATTTTGGATAGTTGGTTCTACTCTAAACTCAAAAATGACAGTGAAACTATGTTATTCTAGTTAGAAAGATGATTCTAAAGAGCAATATTACAAGGAGAGTTTTCTATCTGTAGTAAAAGTGCCAACATGGATTCAACATAGTTTAGATCTAAGCAACGCGAAACACTGATCACTACCATCAGTTAAGATGCTGAGAGAGAGTGGATTAACATCATGAACAATCACTATTGCATCTACATAAATCCACTTTATCTGCTTTAGTGAACAGAGATGATCGGTAAGGGAGAGTTTGATGGTGACAAAAGATAATGATGGTTATATAAGTCGCAGAAGTTTGTTTCCAAGTTATACCAACAAATAGTTAGTAATCAATGAAAAATGTTTGGAATAGAATTTATATGTGTGATCTGCAGATAAATAGTACCTTCTTGTTTCATATATAGGTATCAAATATCAATCCGAAACAAAATATTTATGAAAACGCAAATAGAAATGTAAGATTAGTTCATTCATTCGGTTATCTTTATCTTCAGATATGTTCTATGGATTTTTAGAGGGATTAGTCCGAGATGAAAGTAGTTCATAAAATTTGCTGAAGTTAAATAGAGAACACAATCAGGATGAAATAATTATCTGTTTTATTTATTTATTTATTTTTTTTCATGAATACTTTAATGAACATAGACCACAGAACTTTTCAGTTAGAATTGGGTTTAAATGAGAATAATTTTTCTTCGACTTCAGCGTTATTTTATTGTACAACCCTTCAAATAAACTTTATTCTGATAGAAATAAGAATTTGCATATATGTTATTCCTTTATGTGTTTATTTTTTTAAAGGTGATGTACAATGACTGTACAAGTAAACATACAAAATTTATGACGTCATCACTGTTATTGTACATTTTCAGCAAAGATGCGCATTTGTTGTTTGGCCATTAAAATGAACCATTAATAAAAGGATGGCAAAAATTTCATCAACCTAATGTGGCATATATGTAAACTAGTATTTATTAGAGTCCAAGTAATTGTTACTTTAATGGGATAGTTTCATTCTGTCCACAATCGGAGTGTTTTATCCGAAAAATTGTTGATTCCTTCAAAGCATGTGTTTATTTTTAGTAATAACTGTCACAGTAGAGTGAATAGATGATGGGAGGCTTAGTTTACTCAACTTTTAAACATTTACTAGTGGATCTAAATATTGCTTCTACTTTGATTCACATAACCAGATAACCTTGTTTAAGATCTAAAGTTAAATACAAAATGTTGTATATGGTTAGTGTTTGAAATTATTGGTTAATTAAATAATTTATAAAGTGTATTTAATACAAATTAGCCACAGTTGTGGTACAAGTAAATACTATGGAACTCTGGACAGTTGTTTCCTCTTAGTATGTGAGTGCACATCCATGACCACTTCAGGGTTCGAATTCAAAACCTTTGGCTTTCATGGAGAATGGCTAACCACTAGGTCAGTGTCCAGTGGTACAATTCAAATTGCACTACAGCCATCTAATATTAATTATCACTTTAAAAATATTTAAATTACATCAGTCACAGTAAATCAATTAAATTTCCACTTATCTCTTTTAACTCACTTTCGTAAATAACTATTGACAACTTTATTATTTGATTTTGTAAAACTTCGCTTATTTTTCAAAATCTCATTTATTCAGGTCAAATAAGTCTTGTGATGTTTGTTGAAGGGTTATTCATTCCAATAAAACAATATAACTCACCATCCGATGGTTTATTATATCATGCACTCAATGGGAAGATTTCACCATGCGGAAAATATTTTATCTCTTTAAATGAAGGTAATATATATATATATATATATATATATATATATATATATATATATATATATATATATATTAGTTGTAAATCTATTCATAACATATAACTCAAATTATGTTGATTTAGAAAATTAACTTATAACTAAAATTATGGAAACAAATCACTAAAACAATACACATTAATGATATAATGTAGTGAATGCTACTTATGCTGACAGATATAAGTACTATGTAGCACCAATTGGGGAGTGAAATGTCTGGCAGCAGAAGATTGAATTGAAGAGAGCAGAAAAGAAATCGCAGAACAATCAAAATAACAACAGAATTAAAGGCATAGTGGAGTGTGTAGAGCCTAACGTAATAAAGATATGGAAATGATGTACTTAATGTATGATTTTCCTATTTTTTACTAGGCCGCTGTGTAATTTTGCATTGAATAAAAAATTGGTATTCCCCACCTGAGTTCTTGTTTACCACAATGTTGGAAATAAAATTGATGTATATTTTAGTGTTCATTCATATAGAGAACCATGTCTGTTAATTTTTTAGAGCTTTTTTACTTGACTGGTCATTTGAACATTTGCTATTCTAGATCCGGTTATACTCAGATGACAGATAACTTTAAATGAATAAGTAAGAAGCTTGATAACTTTGGAATGTGGTTAGCAGTAGAATACAGAAGGCTCGCCTGTACCCTTCTTGGGTTCATCAACGCAATGTACCTTCATTCTAGTGGTAATATTCACACTAAACTATATCCGTCTACCCATTATAATTCTGAAGCATTACTTCTGAGTTTCAATGAAAGATGTATTCCAATAAATTTTTCATTTCAATAAGTCCAAAAGATTTTTCTATAAAAATCTAATACGTTGTTGATCAATCATAAATTTATTAATCGTTTTATATGTATAGTAGAGTTAGTGCATACTAATTACGTTATTTTAAAATTTTTATACGGTTTGAACGTTCTGAGCTTGAATCCTGATCGAAATTCTCTCACTTGTGTCTTGAGCTTAAGCCTAATTAACCGTGAAGTTTAAATTTCAACCAATAATTCACGAAGATGGATCTTACTTTGTCTATCTGAGACTATAAAGCCACTGTCATTAACATTTGAATAATAATAACAATCGATTGCTTTATTTAAAAAATTAACCAAATAAGTGTTTTACATTTATCCGATTGTTTACTTCAGTGCTTGCAGGTTCTCCATGGTGGTATAGCCTAAATTGACTCATGATCTCAACTATTAAAATTACAGTAATATCCGCAAAACCCTTCATGATATTATTCAACATATACTCACTAGTGACGGTCTTCAAGTGATATTTCCCGAAGGTCTGGTGAGGAGCTGTGACCGGTGGGGTTCAACCGAGTCTGTTGTGAGATAGTAACTCACTGAAAACAATGATAGACGTGTCGCTCAATTTGGTGAATTATTGGAAGCTAGACATTAACACCGTTGGATGTCGGTCAGCTCAGTGGTTTAGAGGTTAGGCGTTCGCGCGAGACCGATAGGTTCTGGGTTCGAATCCCGCGAGGTGGGATCGTGGATGTGCACTGTTGAGGAGTCCCATACTAGGATGAAACGGCCGTCCAGTGCTTCCAGGTTTTCCACCGTGATATAGTTTCAAGTGATTCACGAATTCAACTACTAAATTACTATAATATCCACAAAACCCCTTCTGATACTCATTAATTGTAATACAAAATATTTCATTCATTTAAGAATTATTATTATATACCCATTAAATAAAACTTATATTTAATTAATATTATATATACATGTATGTATATCAAACTTTGATAGATTCAATTAATTCGAAAATTTGGTTAGAAGTTTATCGTTTACCAGTAGATGCATGGATGAAAGAAATTTTACCAGTCGTTCAAGAATTTCAAAATGTAAGAACATTCACATCAAGTGTGGAAACTTCAACTGAGGTGAGTAATTGTTTGTTAATTAAGAATTATGATTATTTATTTTACGATCGAATAGTGTATGATTTGTAGTAGTAGATTGTTTGGTGAGACTATAATTTATGGACAACCTTGGAGCGACACTAGACTGACCTTGAGAGTGTCCACTTAATAACTACGACCAAATGAGGGTTATAAACCTGTGTGAGGAAATACAATTATAATTTACAGTTGACAATCAAGTTTGCGAATTAGATTTCGGGTTTTCATCACGAACTGACATCAGCTATAATGCAAAAACTCTATTTATCCAAAGGGATGAATGAATTTGGAGCGAAAATGCTAAACCTGTTATCTTATACGTGATTGGTCCGCATATATATATATATTATCATTTAGACTTAACAAGAAGAATGATTAATTCATAGGCATCAATGCCATGTTTGGGCATTATGTAGAGAGTTAGTAATAAATATATTTTTTGTCATATTCCAATGAGTAGAAAAATCGTATTTCTGACGTTTCGTAACTTAGTGCAAGCCACTTCTTCAGAGTAAATAAATACCCGAAATTCGGTTTTTTATCTACTATGAAGAAGTAACTTACATTGAGTTGCGAAACATCAGAAATACAATTTTTCTACTCATTGAGATATGACAAAAAGTATGTTTAATAATGATTAATTAAATTTAACTTTGTAAATCATATTGTTTATATTGTGTTTAAACTTATCAGGGTAACTAAATATATGCACTGCTCTTGATTTGAGTCCGCATGACTATCGTAACCAATGGTTGGAGACTCTGGGTGACATGGATCAGAATCGATCTTAATGGTGCAAGTGCATACACTCTCTGTCTTCCTTTAAACTATGAGATTAAAGTCGCTTCATATCTTTCTTCCTACGAACTAATTCTTTCTTCCTGTACTAAATCTTTATATGCAGTTTTTCTTTTATATATAATCACCATTCAAATAACTACTTCTATGAATCCGGTGTTCATCCTGATGTGCTGACGAGGTATGGCAACTTGAATCGATACATATATGTACCTGGTCCTACGTTGTAGCTGATTGACTGACTTAATTTAGATATCTTTTATTCTAACATCAAGATCCATATAATCAATAGAGATTTCGTAACTGTCAATGTTGTAGCGCATATTATGGTTTATCACCAAAAAATGTATTAGAATAAGACTATTTATTAATCGACTATTAATAAATTATATAATTTAGAAGAAAAAACAACTCACATTTATTTCATTCTAGGAGATAACCGTTAATCTGATCGAACGAAAATCATTTTATGAAAATCAATTTCAGCTTAGTTCACCTGTGTTATTAGGAAGAATTAAATATCCAGTAATGCCGCCAAGTGAGAAAGTTTTTGAAATCACATCGTGTTTTATTATCACTATTTTAAACAACAATTTTTTTAATTCAATGGAAAAATACAAGTAAGCAATACCAAATAAATTTAAAACTTCACCCCATTTTACAAGCAGGTGGCTATCAGTACTTAGTAACTAAGTGGATAACGCGGCGGCGTTTGGAACGAAGGGTACTGGGTTCGAGCCCTGGATTGGTTATCAGCTCTGAGATGCAGGTACATCCAGCTGACACGTCCCAAATAGGTTTCTACGCTAACCACTATCCACCTTTGTTTATAAACAAGTTTTTAACATATATATTCTACTCAACTCTGAATAAAACTCATTTGAACATTTAATCGTTTCCATAAATTTAAATTATGTAACGAGAAGATAATCCATCATAATTATATAATATATTAGTGCAATATATGTCGGAAAGTCCTATCACACATTACCTTTCTCAGGCATTTAAATATGAAAAATCAAAGTTCGAATAGACAACTAAGAAGATAAGTGAAAAACAGAGACAATAAGGAAAATGACATGAAAAACAATATGAATCACACTCCTGTAGATAATAAAACAACATTAATGGAGTACATTTAGTGTAAGAACAAATTGTTTTTAAACAAACAAAATGATTTTAACGTTTGTATATCAGGAGATTCATTAAACCTAACCTAGGAGTTGTCTGGGTTGGATGTTAGACAGTACTGTGATATCTATGATCTAAATGTGAAAACAAAATACTATGATATGACTAAGGTTGAGGTTGGTATAACTTTACTCAAACAGAACGACAAACATTATTGGTAGATGATGATATATTTATCTATTCAAAATTGAAGACTTTTTTCATTTCTTAGTAGTACACTGATTTACTTGCATTAATTATTCAACAAAGTGGCCATAGGATGATTCCAGACTTTCAATGATGGTCTAAAGTTGGTCGATTTACGATCCCAACCAAAAACTGTTTTTAATTATAACTTGGAACTTTGCAAGCATGAATGCTTCATATATTAAGAAGGATGGATTGTAGGTATCAGCATATATTGGAATTAATATAGTATCCTAAATTTTGTTATTCCGGCTAGAAGGTACAGATTTAGCCAGTGAGAAAAAGCTAGATAGAGGACAGTCTACTATTTAGCAATAAACGGTCAACTGTTTGGAATGAATTAGCAAATTCACTTATTTAAAAAAACTTAACAATGAATAGAACATCTGTACGTTATCAAAAGTTTAGAACAATTTACAAATATTGTCTTTACTTAGTGATGTCTGTTCTTTGATCATAAAGAAGTCCTGTCATAATTGATGTCACTGTTTGGAAAACTTCCAATGAAATGTAGAAATTTCATCTAAATAAAACTTTCCCTGAAGAAGTCCAGACTAGTTTGCTAGATGAAGCATTAAGATTATTTATATTTCAATTGCTTGGTTCACCAGAATATGAGTTTTACATTTTATGTCTTCATTATATATTCGGTGCCCAATTTCTGTCGAACTACTGGTTTATATATATTTAAATTACATTTATTATTACTTAATAAATTGAAGTAGTCTAAGATTATTAGTAAATATTTTGCCTACTGTTTCTGTGTTCGCATTTACTTATTTCTGAAGGTCCTGCATGTAAATCAGTAACAGCAGCACTCAGGCAAGCTAATGATAAGGCTAATCTTTTAAGTTACTCAAATCTTGGTACCCATTTGTATTCCGATGCAATTAATGAAGCAAACCAGTTGGGATTCATCGAACATCGAAATTATCCTTCCTGTTTAACAGCTCTTCCTAAACCACAGCTTGATGAAAAGAATTCAGTATCCGTCCAAGGATTCACAGATAGCCCTGAATCTACAAAACGTGAGTTTACTAGGGCAGATAAAAGATAGAAAGAAGTATTGAGTTGATTGTTTCTGGAAGTGGTTATTTATTATTTTGAGAAATCTAAATAATTAGATCATCTGTAAATGGTTCAAAAGAAAGAGAAAATGATGCAGAAGTAGAGCAAACTTTCATTTGCTTCGTTTGAAAAAAAACAAATGCAACATAAAGCTTCTAAAATGTTCAATATCATTATTTTTACGAGAAAAGTTAATTCTATGATGGTTAAGATTTAATACTTTGTAGCTTAGATTCATTTTCAGTACAGGGTTGCGTAGAATGCTTAGTTCACTGAAATCATGAACCTATCAATGTTAGACTACCATTGAAAGCTTGGAAGCACTGAATCTTCGTTTCGTCCGAGTGAGCCTCCTCAGCAGTGTTTATCCACGGCTTCACACGTTGAAGTCAAACCCAGGACCTTCGGTCTCGAGCACAAACGCTTCAACCCTAGACCATTGGGCCGTTATCCAACGGTGTTGACGTCCAACTTCAATCAATCCACTATATTGAGCAACCAGCTTACATTGATTGGTTCATGATTTCAGTGGAACTCAAAAACCCCCACAATTGTATACTGATAATTGTTATGCTCACACTAGTGACTAACTTCGAGAGGTAGGCGAGAGGTAGTGAGGTAGTGAGAAGCCGCGACCAGCGAAGGTGGACAGTGTTGGCAGAAACAGTTACCCACCGAAAACAATGGACGATAGTCACTCGATATCGTGAATTACTTAAAGTTAGACGTCAACACCATTAGATACTGGCTCAATAGTCTAGAGGTTGAGAGTTCGTGCTCGAGATCGAAGATCCTTGGTTTGATTCCAACGTGGAGTTGTGGATGCTCACTCTTGAAGAGAGCTATAGTAAAAAGAAACGGCTGTCAAGTGCTTTTAGGTTTCGATTGGTAGTCTATCACTGATTAGTTCATGATTTTAGACTTACTGAAAAAATATGCTTTGTTTTTTGTTGCTTAAAATTATTTTATTTTGTTGTTGCATACTTTCATATTACATACACAAAAAAATAGAGATATCTGAACCCACAACAGAAAGAAGTCAACCACACTCACCAAGTTCAATAAAACATCAAACTAGAAATACAAAATCTTCTAAACGTAAACAACAGCACAAAGAACAAACAATAAATGGACGTAATAATAAAAAAGCTGAAAAGCTGAACTCTAATGTTGAGACTACCGATCCATTATCAAATAAAGACAACGATGAAAAGTCAAAAAGGAAGAATAAAACTAATAATAAAAAACAAGAAATTGAATTGGATATTGAAACAAATGTAAAAGATTCGGTTATTGATGGAACTGAACAAGTAGATGATTCATTGAAAAAAACTCAACGAAATGAAGAAATTAGAAGACAGTTAGTAAAAGATTTATATGAAGCACAACCTAAATGGTAAAAGTGTAAAATTTTTACTTATAAGAAATTCTAAAGTGAATTGTACAATGAAATAACTTTCAGTAGTTAATATTTTATGACTTCCGGTTCCCCACATTGTATGAATATTCCATGTACCTCAATTAATGGTTGCTGTGGGTGTCAGAAAGGGCATCAGCCATTTGACTTCCGAAGAAATTCGGATTTTATCATGAGACGTCATAACTCTTCTAAGTGAAGGCCTTCTAACTACTAGGGCAGAGTTTAAATGGTTTGGATTATTTTTCCTGGTTAGCGTCTTTTTAGCGAGTTAGTTGTCTACGGGATAGTGTCGCTAACCCCATGCCCAACTCTCCGCCTTTATCCGGGCTTGAGACTGGCAATAGCCCCAGAGGGGCTCCAGGCGGAGTTATTTATTATTATACACATTATTATGTTTGAATTATCAGAAGGATTACAGAGAATTAGAAATTAACTCTAATTATAGGTCATAGTGTTATTTCAACTCTAACAGGGTACTTTTTCACTTAACATCAGTCATAACTATTATTATCGAAGTCTGTTAATTATTCAACCGTGATAAACCATTTTGGAATTACTATTTGTTCTTCAAACTTTACTAGTAAAACTTGACGAATATTCAAGGACAGATAAAATAACACTAACAATTATCATTATAGTTGGTCTGTGTGCCAACAGTCTTAAATAAACATTCGATATTTATCAGAAATTAATCTTGATATAAGATCAGAAACTGCTGTTGATGTGAAATTTTAGTGTTCGTTTTTGACAGTTCAAATGATTATCAATATTCACAGTTTTAATCATGAACTGATAACCTTTGAAAAGAAGGAAACACTGGGAAACTGTTTTGGCTTAGTTTTAAACTACACAGTGGCGCGCAACTACGACCACACCTAGGATTATTGGTTTGATTTTCATGCTTAACCTTAACAACAGTTAAGTTATTTGACTATAGTTACGTAGAAAGAATTAGTTGAAATAGATCTCCCTTTATTAAAATTTATTGTCCAGAAAAACTGACAATTTTAAGAATAATTGATTTAGCACTACAGATAAACATTTAAGTGTATATATGCTCTGGTTTTTGACGAAAATTTGTAATGACTAGGCACCTTACTGATAATAACTGCTTGATTTAGTATCATAGATTTTATTACAAGGAAGAGTTATCAGTACCAATTGTTCAATATTGTCTTGAAAAAGTTAAGAGCAAAGAATTGAGGAGAATACCACTATTCTCATTTCATTTGATTAAGTTCTCATCAGTTATTGACATCTTATAGTATATTGAAAATTAAAAATTATTAAGTGAATGTGAAGAAAAAAAACTGATATAAATGACAAACATTCTAATCAAACAAATGACTTTAATAGGAAATTATTTTCTGTATAAATCAGTATATGTGACCACTTAATTGTAGTCCTTTGATCATTTGTTGCTATCAATGTTGTGGAATGTATTTGAAATAATTTTTTATTAATTGGCTTAAATTTATTTACATCTTTTGCAAACTATACTGGTTGACCAGTGGAGTTCAACTGGATTTGCTGTGAGATAGTAACTCATTGAAGACAATGATGGATGTAATGCTCAGTTAGTTGAAGTTAAACATTAACACCGTTGGATGCTGACAAGCTCAGTGGTCTATTGGTTAAGCGTTCACGCGCGAAACTGATATAACCTGGGTTGGAATCTCGTGAGTCAAAATCGTGGATGCGCACTGCCACTGAGGGGTCCCACAGTAGGACGAAGCGACCGTCAAGTGCTTCCATGGTGTTCTAGCTTCAATTGACTCATGATCTCAACTACTGAAATATACTGCGGTGTGCTTAAAACATTTTCTAACTAAAGTCATTTGTGTGAGTATTTTAATTAATATTTATAATTATGATTTTTAGTTATTACAAGTTGTGAGTAGTTGATAAAAATCTGAGAAAATTATTAGGAAGTAAAATATATGTTAGTTCTATCAATTGTAGTGTGTTGTGTGTAAATTAAATCTTATCAATGGTGTTATTTTTCTTCCTTGCATCAGGACATATCAGTCTTGTTCCGTCAAATAAATAGCATATAACAGCTTGTATAACAGTCATAACAAACCATTAGGAGCACTAACAGCATCTTGTTTAATTGCTACAAAAATTCATGTTAACAACACATATATATGCGAACGGAGAATTTTTTTCTTTTTCAATAAGTTACCGTCAGGTTCTATTGTCATAAATCTAAATTAATGTTTCAAAGGGAATAGCCAAGTTCAAAGTAAATATGTCATTCGAAATAACAATTTGTAAAATCCAGGATTATTGGCGGGAAAATATGACATGAAGTGAGAAAAATAATAATGTAATTGCAAATCAAAATAAATATTTGATCTGCAATTGCATAATGAATAGAATAATATGGATTAAGTAAGATATGGTAAATAGGGATGGGTGCCAATTAAATCCCTCAAATGTTTACAAGCATCTAAGATAAGTGATTCAGATATATTCAAGCTATGAAAATATAAAGATGAAAGCTGTACATACATTTGTCAAACTAGGCCTCTATATCACCAAAATGATTGTTGACGAATTGGCTCAAAAGCTGGTCAATATAAAAGAAGCAGTTGAACATATTTTTTTGGACTCAAAGCTTCGATGTTTTGATCGGAATAGCTACTGCGTCATTTTATTCTGCTCAAACCTTTGTTCTTCTTTTCAAGTAAATAAAAGGGATTATATATACGCAATATATTACCATACATCTAAATCGCAATTGTTCTCAAGATCTTTTGGGTGTTTTTTATTGGTCAGTATTTGCCACTTATATTCAGTTGCGAAAACTTTATATCATTTTAAGTGTTATGTCCTTTATCGTCATATAATAGATGTATGAATTTTAGTGTAGTCATTTCTTGTTTGTTCAAGCTATCAACAAAGAAGTACAAGTACTTCTATTTCTATGTATAATTTTCTAGTGCTTAACATCCCAACAAGTTGTAAGCTTTTTACAGAATTTTCGTGACCGCATACACTTGGCCATAAATATAATCTAGATCAAGAGGATTGGTTTTAACATTTACATAGTTGGAAAGACAACTGATCCAATTATCCAGCTATCTACTTGTATTAGTTTACGGATTCTGTTTGAATGATATCTAGTATTTGGTTCTTGAAAAGCAGATCAAACTGTATTTTATTTCAATGGTTAAGAACATAAGTCAGTTGAAGCTAGACCACCAAGGAAAACCTGGAAGCACTGGACGGCCGTTTCGTCCTACTGTGGGACTCCTCAGCAGTGCACATCCACGACCTCGCCCCCTGCGAGATCCGAACCCAGGACGTACTGGTTTCACACGCGAGTACTTAACCACTAGACCACTGAGCCGGCATCCAACGCTGTTAATGTCTAACTTCAACTAATCCACCAAATTGAGCGGCACATTCATTATTGTCTTCAGCGAGTTACTATCTCACAACAGACCTGATTGAACTCCACTGGTCACTACTTCTCACTACAACTCCAGGATATACCTCTTGAAGCCAGTCACTAGTGAGCATATGTTGATTAATATCAGATGGGTTTTGTGGATAATGTAGTAATTTCATGTTTATGCCGGTTACTCGACAAAGCATGATATTTGGTTTTCCATTTAATTAATTATAAATCATAGATTTAAAACACTCAGTATGTAGCTATCTATTATATTTTAAGGAAGTTAAACTTGCATAAATCATATACAACTGGTTACGGTTTTTTAAAGTGTACAACAAAGAAAATGCATTTCCCTTTTTTTCTCATTTTGTTATAGCTATCCATATTTTGAATTCCTGCCAATTAATTTAACCTCTAATAGTAAACAATCAGAAATTTCATCTTTGACCAATTTGTGTAAGTTTACAAACTTATTATATTACCTATAGACCTAGTCATTAGAGAGAGTAATTTTTCTCGAAAATTCCCCGATTCGCCTTTGTTATAATACTGTACTAATAAATCTATAAGTTATTCATTTTTATTTAACCGACATCAGCTTATTCATCGGTTATTGATGTTACTTACTCACATCGAGCATAGGCCACCGACTGGGAATCTCCTACTCTCCTTTTCAATTGTTACTAAATGATATTCATTATTTTGGTGTCTATATTTAATTTCCTGGTCAATGTGTTTTTGAGTCTTTTTCTTCTTCTTGCCTTGAGGAATACCAAGTCAAGGCTTGCTTCGTGATGATGATTTCTGCTATGTGTACCCTATCCACGTTCTGTCTCTCCCTACTTTCCTCTTCACCTGGTTTTTTGCCACATCAGGTTGCTGCTGATGGTATGTGGTTAACGGATCTGCATTATATTACTGTTTATAAATACCTGTACTTTTTAGATGATGGTTGTAGTAACCTTTTAAGTTTAAGCTCCGTACACTAAAACTGTCTTGTTGTTTGTATTGAAAATTCTCGCTTTGGTGGAGACTGATAGTTGTTCTGAGTTGCAGATGCTGTTCATTTGTAAGGATGCTGTCCTTGCTTGGCCTTTACACCGTCATCGAATATCCCTTGTTCATCAATGGTACTGCTTAGGTGTGCAAAACTTTCCGTCTCTTCCAGAGCATCTCCACTAAGTGTGACTTGGACGGTGCTCATTGTATTGTATTTTAAGATCTTGTTTTCTCCCTTGTGTATGTTGAGATTATTGATATCGATGAATGCGAACATAATTACAGTCAATATTGGTTGTATACTGAAATAAATACTATCAACAAATAATAAAAATTCGAGTCTGCTTGATTTGTCGCATTACACTAATTCCTCAGCTAATTTATTATCGCTTCATTTTTTCTGTGAAATGTATCGGAGTCGAATTCATGAGTGGTTTAGCATGACTGTATATTCTACTGATTATTTCTTTCTATTTCATGGCTTTGTTACTCCGTAGAATGGCCTCTTTCTACTGCCCACATTTAAGTAATTTCAAACTTACGCTTACATTTTTATTGTCAAACTGGTGCTTAATGATTCATAGTAGCCAACAGATTATGAGCCCAATTTTATGCTCATAATTATTATTTTATTCTTTTTACATAGCCATTGAGAATAATTAAATGATTCTAAAGTTCAAACTTACGCTTACGGTTTTTGCATCTACATTCATATGTGATTACTCTTAGTGATTAACTGATTTGCATTCTTAAGTTCTTTTATCGATTTACTAGCAACTTTTCTCTGATACTGATTTTATATTCAAATGTTTAACTGAGATGTTGTTTGTTTGGAAAAAGTCTATAAAAAAACTAGAACCTGTGCTTCTCGACAGTTATAATTCATCACTAAGGCTTATGTGTAGTCTTGAAGTAACTGTCAGTTCATCATCCTGTTTTACAGTCTAGCTCGTTACTACTGAACCATGAATGACCTCTTTTAAGACTGAGATATTTATATTTGATTAGTCAACGAGTATCGACCATTGTCACTTTTGTTTAGTCTTTTAGTGCTAGTCAAAATTTAATGTGGTCACTAATCTAATCACATTAAATATGTTTAGGTGTTTGATGCTTTTGGCTAGTTGGAATCACCATTTATGTCAGTATTTAGCCACTGATGAGGAACTAATTGAAACTAATATCACTTCATTCAAATTGTATCTTTATTATATATTCACTTTAAGTAAATTATGAATGATTAATCACTTTACAAATCTTACAGAAACACTTTTGTCTTGAATTTCATTTCATAGTCATTTATAATGACATAAACTTTTCTAGTCTGAATAACAATGATACAGTCGTGTACATTTTTGTACGAATGTTGTTTTTACGCAAGAAAACAATGTGTTTTTCACCATTTCACCATAGTTGAATGATTAGGAATTGCTACATTTGGGTTCTATCAAACTAGAAAGTGATGGTTTCTCATTTTATAGGGAAGTTTGTACTGTTTTAAAAGAATTATAGAAAACTTTCGTCCATAACCAGTAACGGAATCACTATTAGTCAGAATGTTCATTAGGGTTTTTTGACATTCTCAGTCTAAATAACTATTTCAAGTGCGGATATTTATTTATGCTCTAGATATGTTACTGTAAAACATAAGTATTCGTAAGGCACTATATGCAAGATTTTCATGATAGAGTAGTTTGTTAATTGAAACCGATGTTTGTTACGGTGATTATGACTTCATTATCATCATATGAGCTTTAAATTGTTTCATATATGTCTAGAAGGACCTATATATTACTGTTCGACAGTTAATAATCCTAAGTTTTCATGAAATTTTGATTGAAAAACAAATAGCCAATGACTTTCTTATGATTTAAGATTATTCGTTGTGAACAATCAGACTTTGCAAAATAAATAACTGACTTTTATTCATGACTGATAATCGTTTCTTAATTTCTTTTGTAGCCTACTCTGGATCGATTTGTGTTTATTGGTCTAGATCATGTTATCTTTTCTTTTATCCTTTAGATAAATTCTCTAAAAGTAAGATTTTTATAAATAAAGTATTTATTGTTTGCTTTCCCTTTGGTATCTTTATGTTTTCAGATTGTATGGATAAAGAGGCCACAAAAAAAACAATCCAGATTAGTTTGGTGAATCGAAACGGCTTTAAACACATTTTGAGAGTGTTTAGGCTAGGGTAGTAAAAGCTCAAATGTTCGGTCATCTTTTACTCTACCCAGCTCCGTTAACTTGTCAGGAGATATCAGTTTAGAGATTACTTTAATGGAGTAGGTGTATAATCAATATTTTCAAAATTCATTAATATTTATCTTGGTATCAAGTTCTTTTCTATAATCTTGATTAGTATCATTTTACGGGTCGTTAAAAACGTTATGTTTTTATTAAGCGTTCGTAAGTTGGACAATTTATAATTTACCGTTAAGGTAACTGAATTATGGGGGTCAAAAACAATCCATTCAAATGAGTCTCAATCAATAATTATTCAAGTTTGATGTAAAGTAACAGATATCTTTTATTCGCATGATTGACCACAGATCATCATTGGTCACATAATTTTGAATACCGAACAAGTGAACTAAGTCATATCCATAGGATGACTACAAATGCAATAAACATTCCATTAAGTTTAAAACCCCGAACTAATTCCACTCATCATTCAGTTAAACTGTTATACTTAACTTTTCAATTTATCAGATCAGTAAGATAAACCTACTTGGTGCACCTCTACTACACTTAATTTTGTTTACGTTTAATTTCGTCAAGCTCTTCAACCAACGTATCTAACATACTGTGACAATTTGTATATCTTGATGTTGTTATCATGTCTGTATGAACATGTATGCTGGATCACATGTGACAGCCCACACACGTACTCCTCTCTCTAGCTTAAATGTTAGTTGTTTAGATCCCACAATGAATCATTCTCATTCCCATATATACATGTATTTGAATCCTATTAAATCACCTATGTTCACTCGTTCGCGCGCATTAGCTTTTCCGCTCGAATTTTCTTGGTGTGCTTGTGGTCTATTGATCTGTGCTATTCGATAATAAACTGTAATCGGCGCTTTGTGTTTCCTTCTGAATTTACGCACAGTTTAGATTTATCTAATATATGAATCCTATCGAATTATCTCGAAGTTATTTCCACTACAGATTTGTTATTTTTAGTAATCTAGACACTGGAACAGTTTAAATGCGGGGAATTAATTTCTCCATACTTACTATATTTGGAAAATATACCATGTTATCGATAGTTGAGAAATATCTGCATTTAAGGATATCAACCTTTTATTATTTAAACTTATCCTATTCCTCTCTACTTTATTTCTCTACATAGGCGAAGAAGGCGTAATAGAAGAAATACGATATTTCGGTTCAGAAATAACTTATATTTCAGTTATCTATTCTAGTCATCCCGTCAATACACATGAAACGTTCATTGATGATAAAGAAAATCTCTCAAAGAAGCCAGATTTAATTAATTCGAGAAATAATTATCTGGTGGTTGGTCTTCAATCTAGATTAATTATAATTAAACAATTACAGTCAGGTTAGTTAATCTTATTGGTTGTTAACTCACATTTTCTATTGATCATTGCCTACTGACTAACGTAATAGTAACCTTTATTGGGCAAATATTTCACTGAATACTATTTGTAGTTTTCATTAGAAATTGCTCTCAACTGAGAAATCTTTTATTGTACATCAAAGCTGACTGTAGCTAGAAACTACTGGAAACTAGGATGATGGCTGTTTTACCTTAGTAAAAGCCTTTGCATTGGTAGCGCTCATGTACGACCCCATTAGGGAATAGACTCAAGACTTCTAAGCTGTATAGCGAGTTCTTAACCTCTTGGAGTTTGTTGTTAGTGTACATATAATGAACAGATTTATCAAGAACTATATAACACTAGAGCTATCCTGTACTTGACCTATAGTTTCATTTTGCGGCTGTATCTAGGTTTCGTAGTGTTATAGCAACTCACGTGCAATTGAGTTTGTTCTCATTTAACTCAGTTAAGCCCTTTTGTTAACTTATTTAGCGGACAAAGTCATCCGTACTATAGCGACTTATTGTACCTTTATTATTGTTGTGCTTGTATGAAATATGTATGCTTGAACGTTGCTTACCGCCTACTCGTATATTCATTCTACTAGCTTTATTATTAACTGCTTAAATGATTCGATGATCCATCCATTTCCCTATATATATACATGTACATTTACACTCTACACTATCGGTTAGCTGACTCATTCATTTGCCTCTGCTTTGTGGTCTGAGTTATCTGCTGATAAAACTGTAGTAGCTGCTTCTCTTTGCCTTCTGATTTCAAACAGCGTTGAGGATTATATGGTAACCGTTACGAGGGTGATTGGTCGACGAAGCACAGCCACTACAGTTTTCATATAAACTTTTGACTAGCTAGTTGGAATAAAATGATCATTATTTTTCAACATTAATTCAGTTTCTAAATACACCTATGTGTTATCTAGTTTCCTTAGGTATCGATCAATTTTTAATTCATTACATATATTTGAAATATGATAGCTTCTTTTCAGCTGATAAACATTCTCTGGATAACTGTTATCATATATAAGGATATTTACACGATCATTTCTCCGTTAGGTTGAATTCAGTAGTATAAATGTGATGTGGATTGAGAAGTTGATGTATAAAGTATACGAACTTTGCTTGACAGTAATTCGAAAAGAATGTACTTACTGAATTATATTTAAATTATAAAACGAAATCATAGAACTGATGCATATGCAATTAATTTTCATTGATAGTTTCTACTGTGATTATTCATAATCAAAGATTTGCATAACGAATGTTTATTCATTGCACATTGAGACATAATTTAAAGATGGTTTTAAATCAATTGAGGAAAAGCTTATTATCTTTGAACAAATGAGGACAATAGATAAGAAAGGAGATGAATATTGAGTTACCAGCTTTTTATTACCCAGAAGCGGTCAAAATACAGTGTGTTCCACATTTCCTTGTTGATTGATTTAGTATTGTCCACTTTTACGGTTAACTACGCATGGAATTATGTTATATGCAATTAAGTTATTGTATGTTCATTAAACTTATAAATTCAAAACTAGTTAATTTGTTTGATAACCTTAATTCTGAGATGACTCTCTTAGGGTATTGAATGTCGATAGTTTTTTTCTATATAATCAACCATCTTTTATTATTAAGTAGGATACGCTTCGCTCTTTGAACCGAATTCATTCAATGATCATCATTTTGTCAAATTAATTCGGGGTGAATAAAATAAAATTGAATTGCCATTTGAAAATATGATCTGAATGAACCATTCATATTTTTGATTATTTAGAAATAAAATGTTACCTACTAGTGTGTCGAGTGAACCAAGCGCATTGTTTTTATTGAAATGAACCAAGTGAAAAATATCTTATGTATTTCATAGTGTGATTTATTAAACCATGCATTTTGATTACTAATGTAGCAATTATAATAACACTTTTATATGAGCGAAGATGGAGTGAACATCAACTCCGGGGATGCAGGTAAATCCAGAAGACGTGTCCCAAATGAAATGAAACGCTCGTTCAGGATTCCACTGCTAGCCACCATCCATCTTTACTTATAATGCTTATGGCTTAAGGCAATATCGAGGCAATCCTCACAGGATGTACACATGCCAATAGAAGACCGATCAATTTCAGTCCAAAACGTCAATGGGAAGCTTTAAGCGAACAATACAAAAAAGAATCAAAACGAGTTTGTTACGAAAACACAAATGAAACAATTTGAGTGGACAGAAAACAAAGGGTGAAATATCTTTAGTATATCACGAGTCGGGAAAATCTGACATTTGGCTCGTTCTGCACAAAGGGGTTGACGAATCTGTAATCCACCAGGCTATAACAGCTACAAACTTAGATTAAAAATTATTTTTCCAGTCGATTATTAATGGATTAACAGGATTATTTCAATTTACTAGGCGCATTTCAAGAACAACCGTGAATCATTGTTAACATTGAGTGAACACGATAGCCGATAGACTTTACTATGAGATATGTGTTACACAGTACATTGGGAGATTTTCAAATGGATAAGGCATTCATCATAAACTTTCTAAGATATTTATCTCTTTGTTATCACTTATTTTATAAATCATTTGGGGGAGGTGATCGCCTCACAAAATGCATATTACAGACAGTTTGTGTATTTAGGTTTCTCTTTTCCAGATGAGGTTATTGAGTTTTTAAAAAAAACTAACGAATAAACAAGAAAACCTCAATCTTGTTATTTTAGATCTGTACACTCAGTACCTAAGAGTTTTATGAAGATCTGATGATCATTAGTAATGTGAAACTTGAGTTCAACTGGGTTGGTTGTGAGATAATAACTCAACGAAGACAATGGTGTATGGTTGAGCAATTTCGTGGATTAGTAGAAGTTAGTTATTAACATCGCTGTATGCCGGTTAGCTCAGTGTTCTAGTGGTTAAGCGCTCGCGTGCGAGACTAATACGTCCTGGGTTCGAATCCCGCGAGGTGGGATCATGAGTGTGCACTGCCGAGGAGCCTCACAATAAGACGAAACGGCCGTCCAGTGCTTCCAGGTTTTCCATGGTGGTCTGTCTTCAATTGACTCATGAAATCAACCATTAAATTACTATATTATCCACAAAACACCTATCTGTTTATAAAAATAATTTATTACTCGATTAAAAAATAATCACTCTGTACTTAGTTTCCACCTTCTATTTAATGCAAAAAGTGACGATGCGGAAAAAGAAAATAAATAATTTTTCATCGAAAGCAACCAACCAAACAAACACTTCAGCAGACTGAAAATAGTCAATTATTAATCAAATTTAATGTTAATTTCCTTTTTCTTTCTACAAACTTACTTTTTGCATTATTCAATAACGGTTGATTGTTGTTGTGTCTCATCCTAATCTCTTCAAAAATTCATATCACTTCCTCATTTCTTTATATTGCTTTGTATTTGAGCGCACTTATATAAAAAGAGCAATTTATAAAGATTTATTAACCGTTTCTCCGATCTATTCATTGTAATACATTATAGTAATTAATTGAATTACGAATATTATTAATTTAGTAATTAAGTCATCGGGATTAAAGAGGGAAACATTACTAAAAATATGTGTATGTTCTGTACAAATGGATTAGTTTACTCATATTCTTTCAATTAAGTAATCAATCGATTGCATAATAACAGTATGGGCAACATCACTACTTCACTTACGCTTCAATTTATTCAGGAAATACTAATAATAAGAGAGTCCTTTAGCGTTGCTTTTTTTTCTAGTCCAAAAGTTATTCTAGTGGACAGATTATTTTATCATTTAAAGAAAGATGAATATCAGCTTTTAAAAGTAGGTATTGAAGTGAGAGTGTGTAAACTACTCTTTATTGTTTAGGTAATATGCCTGTAAAACATGATTTTTTCTTAAAATGTAATTAGTTGTAGTGCTTATAAAAGGCGGCAATTTCAAAAAGCTAATCAACTGATTTCGATATGTGAGGGTGTACTGTAATAAATCAGTTGATATTATCTCTCATTATCAAACTGTAACATTTGTATATCACAGTTAAGGAAAATAACAAGATGTTACATTCAAGGTGATTTCTGTCAAAGTGTTATATCATTTGGAGTTCCGTTTAAAACCAGGGACAAGTAAACATCTGTCCCGTTTTAGTTTGGAGTAACGAAGACTCAGTACATCATCTAATTTTCAATTTCAATCGATTCTCTATGTAACACGATGAAAGATATCTTCTGTTTCAAAACAGATACCGTTGAACTCCACCATTAGCGACTTTGCACTGTAAGCCTGGAGACCATCTCTTATCAGATCACGCGATTATATTTTGATTTGGGCTTGTTTAGTCTCGAGTGAGACGTTTGTCATGAATGATATTAATTGGTCATCGAGTTAGGTCGAAAAGTTATTGAAGCTTAAGATTGTGGATGACTGAAATCCTGCAAGTAGTCTTGTGATTAAGCTCTAGTAATGAAACCTGGAAGCCCTTAGTTGAACTCCATACCGAATATTTTGTTTTCAATGATACCTGAGATTATGCTAATTCAAGGGAAAAATAGCTTACTTACTGAATGGATATCTGTAAATTCTTTCTAGCAAAATATTACTGACATAATATTTGATTTGCTGATTATAAAATGAAACAATTAGTTAAACATGATATATAACTAACTTGCTTATATATCTTCACTTTTAGGGAGATACTTACCCCTATTTTATACCGAATTAGGATCATTGGTAGATGCTGGTCTGTTGATAAGTACCAAATACATCAATCTACTTACTGCATGTTATGTAAATGGGAATAAACACTCAACCAAGGGTGATTTGATATTACGCAAGAAATTCACGTTTGATATTTATAATTTAGATGAAAATCAACTGATATGGAAAAAAACCCATATTGTGTAAGCTGAAATATTTTTTAAAAAAAGATACAATTATCTTAACTTTTGACATGAACTGTATTTCGTATGTACCATAAGAAATTTGGCGAAATACCGGTCGTTTAATACATATAATTGCTTACTTAAACCAGAAAAGATAATAATCTTCATGGATTGAATTCACATTTTAAATGTAGATTGAATAGTCGATACGATCTGAGTCATTAACTGCTAACTATGCAAGGCTTATAGAACTGATTGAAGTTGGACATTAACACAGTTAGATGCCGGCCAGTTCAGTGGTCTAGACGTTAGGCGTTCGCGCACGAGGCCAAAAGTCAGGAGTCTGAGTCCTGCATGCGGGATCGTGGGTGCGCACTGCTGAGGAGTCCTATACTACGATGAAACAGCCATCTAGTTCTTCCAGGTTTTCCATGGTGGTATAGATTAGCTCAACTCATGAATTCAACTAATAGAATATTTGGTTTGTAAGCTAAATAGTATGGAGTGAAATATAGAATTGATATGTTCTTGTTGTGGTATTAATATTTTAATATGTATTTGAGATAACGTAAGATGTCTTTTGTTGAAAAACAATAACTTATGTTCATTGATAAAGGTATTCTCAAACTGCTTTGAAACATGTTTTTAAATAATGACGATAAAAAATCTCCACTAATCGGAATAACTATAGTATCGTTCACAATATTTATGGTTGAAATTCATTGATTCATGACTAGATTTCTCTGAAATAATGACTAGTTCAGTGAACTCGTAGCTAATTAGTTAATAGTATATTATAAGACACCAGACTATAATAATTATAATAATCAACATATCATAAATCACAAAAAATAACTGGTTTATTTAATCATACTCTTGATTCTATTTTTGAAATGAAATCATTTCATCTAATTGATTGCATTGTACTTTTATCGATACAATTGGAACAGTTTTAAAATAATGAATCAGTACTACTTAATTATAGACCAATCATTATATGATTTAATTAGCAATCATTGATTGATTTTTTGTTATTATTAAAATATTGTTTATTCTTAGGAGAAAGAAGAATTTTCATTGTCAAGCTATTACCATTTTAACCATAGATGATAATTTCAATGTAAGTTAAAAGATAATTTGCAATAATTTAAAACGTGAATTTTATTTAATAATTGAATTCTTGAGTTGATTGAAGTCAGAATACCATAGAAAACCTGGAAGCATTGGACAGCCATCTCGTCCTATTGTGGGACTCCTCAACAGTGCGCATCCACGATCCCGCCCCGCAAGATTTGAACCCACGACTTGTCGATCTCGCACGTGAACTCTTAACCCCTAGACCACTGAGCCAGTCGGGATCCAACGGTGTTAATGTCTAACTTCAACTGATTCACGAAATGGCTCCACCGTCCACCATTGCCTTCAGTGAGTTATTATCCCACAAGCAACTCAGTTGAACTCCACTGGTCACGGCTTCTCATCAGAACTCCAGGAAATACTTCTTGGAGACCGTCAATAGTGAGCATATAATTGACTCACGAATTCAATTATTAAATTACTACAACCTCCGAAAACCCCTCTATGATTGCAAAAAATAAGATTCAACGATGGTTGTTTTTTTGGTTATTGAATTTATCGTTCATGTTCAACTTCCTTAATATTTCTGAACAATAATATTCACGTCACATTTGATGTGCTTTTTTCATTTTATACAACATATTATTAATACTGTCAGATAATTGTTTTAGGTGACTCCAAAAAGAAAAAAAATCTTACTTTTCTGGTTGTTTCTCTCTTTTTCAAAACACTATTTACCTTTTTTTTCTTAGAAAAAATTTCTGTCTAAAAAATAGTAGGCTACGTCTAAACAGAATTCATCATACGCCTGAAATATTGTTTTTATCAATTTCCCTTTTTTTTGTCCCTTTTCTGTTAGATGGTAGAAGTAAGTAGTACACTGACTTGTTATGTCTCTCTTTCTTCAGTACACTTGTTTCAGTTTTGATAAACTCAATAATGAATTTTGGCATCAAATAGGAAACTGTATTCATTTATTATCTTTGTTTTTCTATAACATACAAGTAGGATAAGAATTTGTTTGCAATGAGAAATTCACTTTACCTGTAACTTATTTTGTGGATCACATTTATCGCATTTTTCGTGTTCATTTTGACTGACTCTTCATCCGTAACCAATATTATCTTTATCTTTGAATAAGCACTGATCACGTTCTGTTAATCTAGATGAAGTCAGAGTAATGGTTTATGTGACTCTACATGAGAGTATATTTAATTTGATGCATAGAAGTATCAGTCTTCTGGGGAGGAAAAATACCATAACTGGCAACTGTTAACATAGGTGAAACACATGTCCATGGATTTGTGTTAACTATCTCCAATTATTTAGTAAGATTGCGTTTACTTTTTTGTTAAGTGATTTTTTTTTCTAAAAAATTTAGATTGTTGTCTGTTTAGTCTCATCGAAGAATTTGCTCATTTATCCCCTGGATCATCAACAAAATTGCTTACATCACCAACAGTCGGCTAAACATAATATCGAAATACATCAGTCAAACCAAGTGGTTGACCGTGATCTAGATCAGTTTTGTCAAAGTTCTATTCAAATTAGTTTACCTGACCCATATGTTATAAACCTAAACACAGGAACCGTTAGTTTATTCCCAGAAGTCAATGAACAATGGGTAGACAACGTTGAATTCTACCATCAACTATGTTTGACTTCTCGTTCAACAAAGTCAACTATTCAGGAAGTTGAAAATGACAGTCATGTGAATCATGAAGAAAGAAAAGAAAAATTAAATAGAAAACAAGGGATTTATCAACTTTGGATACGAGGTAGTTAAAAAGAAGTTAAATTATGATAAAATTTATATGAGTTATAAACAGTTGGTGTATTTATTTACAGTCTTGATGGATATAAATATGGATATAAATATGCTTTAAGTCCGGCTAAGTTAAAGCTATCTTGGGTGATTCAATTGAGATCTTATATTATCAAGAAACAGCTTCAAAGTTATTTCTGTCAACTAAAGAATCGTCGAAAGTCATTGAAAAATTTTTTTCCTCGCTCAAGACTCTTATACTCCTTTATACCATGTGCTCACTAGTGAATAACTTCGTGAGGGAATCTTTGGAGTTGTAGTGAGAAGCCGTGACCAGTGGAGCTAATCCGTGTCGGTTAGAGACAGGTATACACCTCAGTACAATGGAAGATGGTCGTTCAATTTTGTGGATTGGTTGAAGTTAGACAATAACACCGTTGGGATGCTGATTCAGTGGTCTAGAGGTTAAGCGTTCGCGAGCGGGACTGAAGGCCCTGATTTCGAATCCCGTGAGCGGGATCGTGGATGAGGACTGCTGAGGAGTCCCACAATAGGACGAGACGGCCGTTCAGTGCTTCCAGGTTTTCAATGGTGGTATAACATCAATCGGTTAACGACCTAAATCAAGAACTTTTTAACATTTGTCTGGAATACTATTTCATACTATGTGACATCGGCATATGACGTCAGTTTCCAATCAAAACGATACTTGAGTGAAAAGAAATTCTTCAGGCTTGAATTGCCTTCTGACCGGTAACTTTTAAAAGTCAAGCCAACATTTAACATAATAGTTTAAAAGAAAATATATTCTTATCTAGGAATATTTGTATTCAAGAGGCATTGTTTACGAAATTGCAGATAAGTTGAAAAGGGTGGGTTCTACATATTTATCTGGTAGATTAGATTACATTAGTTATTGTTAGTTATTTTAAATTTCACAACTTTAAATTGTTATTTTAGTTATTAAATAGATTGCTTTTTGAATAAACATTAAACTAGTCATATGAAATCAGTTGAGGTTGAAGGTAGATAGCCCAACGTAAACTGATAAAATAACTTACTAAATAAAATTATGTAAAAGCTCCATGTTCAAACCATCAGGCTCACAGGACGAAATTCATTTGAGGTACAAATCTTTTCCACCATCACAAAATTCTCTAATACGATTTATAGTCGGCTTATAATAAAAGTCTTTCTAGAATAGATTTATTTATCTTATTGATAAATATCAGTTGAACAAGACCATCTTTCACAAATTCCTTTGAATAATATTTGAGTGGCTGACTTTATCTCTATGATTTACTTATGTACAATTATGTTTACATATATGAATGTTATCTCAGAATGATTTTGTTATTTTTTTAACATAACTGACTTCGTGGGGTTCAATGCTTGATTAGGTCTTATTTCTCCCACTAAATTCATTGCTTTTAAAGCTTTAGTAATTATAAACACAGTCTAGAATAGTTCTTTTGTATCAGTTGTTTAAATCTTCTGGTTAATGTTTAGGACTGTAATTGACCAGTTTTTTGGCAAACGTACATCCTGTGCGAATTGCTTTGATGTTGTCACTAATTCACAAGAACTGACAAGTTCAAGTAGAACGAAACGCGAGTTGTGGATTCCACTGCCAGTAACTATCCACCTCTGGTTATAATACAGTCTAGAATGGATTATTTTATTTGAAAGATCTGCTAATGAAAACGTGGAGTTAGTTAATGATATAGATAATAGATTTTCGACTACTGAATTACATGTCTAAACACCTTTTTACTTACTTCAGCAACTACTTTTCCACAGCTAGCCGTTATCCATCTTTGCTTAAAAAATATTTCGTTTTGTTTTCTGTGTTTAGTTTGGTTTACGATGATAGCTTAGTACTATTAAGCAAGCATATGTTAGTATCTAAACTAGGAATCGTGTATATTATTATTTTATATAGAGAATGAAGCTAAGGCTTAGTATTTGACACACTTGATTTTAAAGCAACTACTTGAGAAGTGAAAATCTTGGTCTTCATAGATACGTTTGAGCATGCAGGTAGTACGGTAAAGTTGGGTCAAAATTGGCAATAACCAAATGATTTATCTTGCTCACTAATTATTCACATTTAACTAGAATGGTGTAGCTATCTAGCTTAAGGTTAGGATATTATGAGGTATACTTTCAAAAAGTTATGTTTATAAAGCATTGGGTCATATTTTTGATGTACAGTACAAACTTTAATGAAGTATTTCACTTAATTGATTGAACTTTTATTGTTGTCACTATTTTTTATAACAATATTTTATTTAACTTTTATCCATAAAGGAACTAAAATTGAGCAGGAGAACGAGGATAGGATCCAATCTAAACTATTTCGTGTTGACTTAGAGTAAGTAGACTTCGGATAATATATATATATATATATATATATATATATATATATATATATATATATATATACTCAGTAACTACTAGTATTATGTTGTTTATTCTTAAATTGTAAACGATTTCTTATTACTAAAGTTGCTATGCAGCTACTAGTCTAAATGATGCCATATGATAGTTCATTATGTATTGTCGTCGGTTGTTGAAGAGGATCATCAAGAGATTCTCAATTTAGGTTTCTTGTTAGTTGGTAATCTAAGTGGAGTTAAGACTTATAGTCAATCATATTTATTAATAGTGACAAAATTATAGATGATGTTTAAAAGCAATACCTTATAATTAAAATTCTAAATCATTTTGTATTCATCTGATTAGCCCATATTTTACTCTTGATTCTATCCCTATTTGTACTGGGCAGTTTAAACTGTGTAAACTCATTTAGTTTAAGTGTTTGTGAGTTGTCAACATAAAATCTAACACGAATATGGATTAATACAATTTGCTAAATGTCATTTCAACAAAATGTGAAGGAAGGAAGTGAGAATATTTTTAACTGTGGTAAAAACCTGTAAATCAGAAATCGACGAATGAAAGTTTAAAAGTGATTTTTAACAAAGTTTGGAGGAAAACATAAAACTAATGCAATTGTACCATTGAGATCGTTTGTATACTATATTCCAAAGGGTTTCCAACCATGGATTATAACTACTATGTGAGCGCCTAGCAGAATATTTCCATCACTCAACACAACTCAAACTAATAATTTATAATTTCATGAACCAATACCTTGTATTAAATCCCCTTTTCATTTTTCAACCAAATAGATTTTTAGGAGGCTTAATAAAAATGAGTTTATTGACTATGACAATAATCACTATAGCCGTTTTTATGTTCTTTTGCTTTCTTCATCTTTTATTTCACTGTATAACTTTACTTATTCCTATGAAAAATATCTATATTCATTTAGCCGCATACTCATTATGATGTATGTGTGCCAATTTGTAATTCCTTAAAATTTTCTCAACTAAATAAATTTCTATCAAAATACCGAATGGCTTTAAGTTTTTTTTTATAATTTTTTTGTTTTGTAAATGTGAAAAGTGACTAGTGTCTTTTGGTCAAAAAGATTAAAAAAAAAAAAGAAATGGGCACACCTTATTGAATTTCATTGATTCTTGTGTATAAAAATAGAGCATGTCAAAGAGTAGTCTTTGATCATGTCATGAAACATTCTCCTTTGATCACCTTTTTTGGATTTATTTTTATTACTAAAGAACATTTCCGGACTGAAAATATTTAAAAAGATCATGTTTCTAGTATTATTATTATTATTATTATTATTATTATTATTATTATTATTATTAGTAGTAGTAGTAGTAGTAGTAGTAGTAGTAGTAGTAGTAAATATTGATTTCTGTAGTTTGACAACTTTTTTTATTTTCAATTTTTTCCGAATTTGTCCTACTTTCCTCTTTTTTTGAAGAAAAAACTGAAAAAACTGGGAAAAATGTTAATTTTATATGTAGACTATGTTAAAGGTTGTTAGTGTTACATCATTTTGATAGAATCATTTATTGTAGTGTATGAGAAAGATATTGAAATTTACTAAATCTACTGAAATGTAAATGAAAGAGTTTATATGTACTCATTTACTATGAACAGGTTCATGTAGTTCACTTGGAATCATATATTATTGGTGTTATAACTAATGATTTTACTTCATCTGCTTGAATCATAGTTGGTGGAAATTAGTGGTCAAATCTGTAAGTTGGTAATTGGAACTGAAAATTACTTATTCACTTCTTATTCATTGTTGATATTAAGAAAGTCTTCTACTGTTCTATTTGTAAGCTGGATTTCATTAACCCACTGATTACACAATAAAAAAACAAGTCATAGTGATACTATATTATCCTGAAAAGTTATCTTTTTAATTAAAGTGTCTTTATTCAGTATGTATGCTTAAATATATATTATTTAAACAGTTTGATCTAATGAGAATCCCCCGATTACAGTTCCATAAGTTATAAAAATATATTTACTGATCACTTGCAATCCTAAACATCAATGAGAAGATTCAAACAAACAATACCAAGTGAATTTAAATTTCATCCCATTGTACAAGCAAGTGGCTACCAGGACTAGGTGGATAACGCGATGACGTTTGGGGCGAACAGTACTGAGTTCGAGTCCCTGGGTGAACATCAGTTCTGAGGTGCAGGTATATCCAACTGACGAGTCCGACATAGGACGAAACGTGTGTACTGAATTTCACTGCTAGCCACTATCCATCTTTGCTTATATATTTTTGCTTTGTGTTCCCTGGTTTTCAGTGTTACCTCAACTAACACTAATCTCTTACATAAACCATATACAAACTAGACAAATCTCCACAAACCCTTCCAATTAAACTATAGTCGTCAGCTAACTAGTGATAAACTTCGGGATATTCCTGAATTTCTTTCGTGAATTCATGAGTGATAGTGCTCAAATATGTCACGCGTAACATACTTTCCACCACTGACATCTAATGATTGCCACTTTATTTCACCAAATGATCGAAGTTAAGACTGTGATGTGTTTACTACTCAAAAACGTGATAATGCTTCTCAAATTACGTAAATATTCGAACGCTTGAGTCTCGAATAGTGAAGAAAGACGAGCGATAAGAGCAAAAGCGTTACTGTGAGATGGGTTTGTGTAAAGAAAATACGCTCGAATCGAAGACAAAATAAACATTTATCTAGTCGAATTAAGATTTATAATACTCAGCTTTTCTGAATGTTTCTGTGAAGTTTTTATTTGATGCTGACTGAGTTTAATGTTTTCGACCTTTACCTGACTTCTGGAGACTTTATTCAGGAATTCCTGGAAACTTAAAACGAAGTGTGACATTAGACGCCAACCCACTCGTTCTGAAATCAAAGCTTTCACCAAGAAACCTGCATTTTCTGATGTAAATTCTTGGTAAGGTTGTAAGTGTTTGCTTCTGAAGAGTCCCATATTAGGATGAAATAGCTGTCCTGTGTTCTTAGGTTTTCAGCGGTACCGCGAATGAGATCATTGTATGTGACATATATAGCCTACCGGTTAAACCAATCTCCATAAAGCTTTGATAACTCAAAAACATATTTCTCTTTACGTCAACATAACGGGTTAAAGTTCTACAAGCAAAGGTACTTTGGATTTATTAACTGTTGATTAAATATCAACTAACCAATTATCTTCTATGAAGACCTTATATTAACACTTGCTGGTGAAAGATGATATTATGAATTATTGTATCCCAGTTCAATGATGAAAAGAATTTTTTTCTCACTGAAATACTGAAGGTTTAAGGTTTAATCCCATATGGTTGTGGATACTTATTCGAGAGTTGTCCTGAAATGAGATTTAATAGAATTTCAGTTTCCTGTGTTTTCCAACATATTTAAAGATGATTTCAGTTTTAGGTGTAAATTATTTTAAAGTAATTGTAAAATAACATACTTATAAGCATAACATTCAACCATAAATTAAACTTATTTAAAAGTTATTTTAAGTATCCATGCAAATATAACATTATTAATGTGTAGATCAATCAGTAAACAACCAACTAATAGCTGAATATTTGGTTTACTGTATCAAATTGTTTGTTTATAAATAACGCAAGTTTTAACTTAGTTACCCTTTATTTAAGCAATCTTACGTGATAAAAAATGACTGTTAAATTGAATTTCGCATATTTCAGTAAATCACTCAAGTACTAAATTTTATAGGAAAACATACTTATGCGGAAAAAGTCTGTTTTGACAATAACCATCTCCAAAAACACATTCCTAATGCAATTTTAAAAGAAAAACATTCACTTCGAAGTAGTTAGACTTTGTAACATGTGTAGTGAAAGGTTTGTCAATTATCCATAAGCAATATAGAACTTGACACATATTCATCAGACAGTCTTCTTTTCAAGCATAGAGGAACGAGATAGGTTGAGAGCTAACAGGTATAGATATCAAAATTAAAACAAACTAATTGGTCAATGCTTCTTTATCTTATCAACCAATGAATTATTGATCAGTTAACAAATAAATGACTAAGCTGGATCACCATTGAAAATAAGAGGCGCTGAACAGCCGTTCGGCCCTAATGTAGCATTCAACAACAGTGTGCATCCACGATCCCGCGCGTGGGAGTCGAGCTTAGAATCCTGGGTTTCGCACTCAAACGCTTCATCTCTGAGCCGGTATCCAACGATGTTAATATCTAACTTCAATCAATCTATGATCTTGTGTAACCCTTCATTGTCTCCATTGCCTGAGGTTATTCACATTTCACAATCAACACGGTTCAACTCCACTGGTCATGGTTTCTCACTCGAACCCCGGGGGTTACATCTCGAGGTTAGTCAATGGTGAAGATATAATTGTTTGATTGGATGCGTACTGCTGAGAATTCCAATACTAGGACGAAACGGTTGTCAAGTGCTTCCAGGTTTCCAGTAATACTATAATCTCCACAAATCCTCCATACTAAATAAATGACTAATCAGAAGTGAAAATAAAGGTTTGTAAAGTGAATCGGTAAATATTCAGTTTTGTTCATCATCGAAATACGATTCATACGTTTAGTACACTGTTTAGTAGTATAGATATCTGATGAACCACAATTTATCCGCGTAAACACAGATAATACGTGATACGCATTAAAGTTCTTATAATTCAAGTACATTTACTCAACAATGAAACTGTTGTTAACTCGTCAAATTATCTGTGATGCTGAAAACGATTTGTTTCTCTGAACGATAATATTAGTGAATTTCTGTTCTTTTAGCTTAGTGGTTTAAATGATAAAACTCTGATTTCCTAACTTGATAACAACATCAGCATAAACTTTAGATAGAAGTGAGCTATTCAGATTTCTCTGTGTATGACTAATAGCTTTTTTGTCAACGTTGAATCTAGTTGATGGTTATTGACCAGTCATTACGTGTATATTTTTTAAAATTTTCTGGTCCGCTGACATGATTCTTGACTTAAGGTTTTTATTACTGCTTTAATAGGCTGCTGAATCTGAGGTTTGCACTTAAGAAGTTATTTAGAAAGGCAATGACAGCTTCACAGTCATTGCACTTGGCTTAGAGTAATGAACATCATAATCATATGTGTTAACAGTGCCATTTTGTCAGCTTGCAAATTTAAATATGAAATTCCCCAAAACATTTTAGGTCGTTTCATATCTGACCTTTTCTCTGCTCATTTATTGATGACTTTGTTTGTTATGTGAAAAGTAGTGAATAATGAAATTCAGCTCGCTTGGCGTAATTTACCCCATTCTATACTAAAGCTATTCCGTACATTTTTGAGTATCGCTAAACATGTAACACTTGTGATATCAACTACACTTTAGTTAGTATTTCGAAACAAAACTACTTTGTGGCTGTGAAACTTCTTGTACTTTGCAATTTCAAGTGAAAAGACACTTATGAAAATTTGTCAATTACATTAGTGAATTATCTTAATTTGATTGCGTAATAGCGAGCTCTTTTGTAGATTAAACATCCAATAATATTTAGGCAAAATAATAAAGTTATAATTTGTTAGTAATTTTTTAATTGAGAAATATTCATGTCGTTTAAGTTTTTTGTATCAGAGTGTAGATACATAAAACTTTGAAGTAATTTAGCTGTTCATATCATAAGGTACGATAAATACTAAGGCATATGACTTATCTATGGGCGATTGGATCTTTGGTTATCCCTTATGTTAGCAAGGTGTTCAAATATAATTAGGAAATCCTTGAACTATGATACTTACTCTTTTATATAATTGAACAGCTTAGGAATATGTAATTCAACCTGACACGTTTATGTGCGATTATGAATTTAATTCATTTTATCTTCAAGTGTTTTTTGACGTTCATCTTCAGGACGTCGCAGTATCTAGTCACCTCTTTTGATAGACAGGGATAAATAATTACGAGAAAATATCATTTTTCATTCGGATACGCAGGACGTTTGTCAGTATAATACATTGTAGTCAACATAATTCTTAGTAATATAAAATGCTTTGGTAAAAATATAAATCAAAAGCATTTCTATCAACATTGAAAAAAGACTCATCTAAAATAGGAAAGAATGTAAGGAATAATGCTCTGTGAATGATTAAAGCTTTGACTCGGCGAAACTATAATTTATGGACGACCTTTGAGCGAGGCTGAAGTGACCTTGAAAGTGGACACCTACCAATTAGGACAAAATGCGAGTTATAAAGCAGTTAGAATTCTCATTTACAGTTAATGGTTAGGGTTAAAATTTACATTTTGAGTTTTCATCACGAAATAACATCAGCTGTACTGCCAAAACTCTATTTAGCCAAATGTATGGATAAATTTCGCGCCAAAATTCGTGACTCGTTATCTTATATTTGATTGGTTCGTCCATAAATAATAGTCTCGCATTTGACTCTAACTGTTACAAAACAGAAGATATAATTATAGGTATCAATGCCAAGGTTGAACTTGATGGTTTGAAATAAACTGAGCATTGTTTAAAGAGTTATATATATATATATATATATATATATATATATATATATATATATATATATATATATATATATATATATAGTATTTTTACTATTTAAACTTGTCTTAATTTAATCCGGCTAATTGTTTACTTTGAAGAGGCGGCATATATTAAGTCACGAAACGTCAAAAATACAATTTTTCTACTGATTGGGATATTACAAAAATTGTATTTATTATTAGAAGTTATAATTGATTTTCTGTATTCTTTATTAAATAAAATTTATCACAAAGTAGATTCTTTGACATCCCCAGTATTCACATAGTTAAATTGTTAAAAATTAGATGGGGTTTATTTAATAAACTGTGGCTGATACGAGACATTTACTTTTTAATATTATTTGCTGTAAATACTGAGTTGAATATCCCAGTTTTTCCAGTAGTAAAACCTGTTATGTAAGGATAGAGATTAAGAGTTGCCATAGCATTTCAAATGGTTTTCAGTTGATATCAGTATCAATAGCTTTGTAGTAGGTTTGTATTTCATTTAAAGAACTTCATTGTATATGCGTACACAGTTTATGTCGTGAGTGAACCATTTACAAAAGTTAATATATGTGAAAACGTCACGACTATATTTTTTAAAACTTCTTATATATGACGATAATCTGTTGCTTAATATCACGACACAATTGCTTTACGTTTATGACTTTAATTTGACTGATGACAGCTGTCTTCATGAAATTTTAGTATTTCTTACAATAGATGGATTGTGTCAAGGAATAACGGGATTATTGAAAACTCTCACAAATACTAACATAAATTTTACACCAGCTAAAAATCGAAAGTGATTGTCTGGAATTAGATGCTCAGTGAATAACACATTATTGTGTGAAACTAAGGTTACTGGGTCCGAGTTCCATAATGAACATCTACATGAATGTAAATGCTTTCAAATAAGACTAAACATACGTTCCGAACTAACTTTCCAACCACAATCTATCCATTGTAAAAAACGTGCTACGAAAGTTCTTATAATTTATTATTCCACCCAAGATTTCCATATAACAGCAAAGAACGATAGGAATTCAGTCCTAAATATCGACAAGAGGAAATTAAAGCACTAAAAATTCATTTGTATGGGTTGTTTACCCCGTCTCATAAGCCAGTGGCTATATGGACTCAGTGGCTACGTAGATAACGCGATGGCGTTTGAAGCGAACGGAAATGGGTTCGAGTCCTGAAGTAGACGTCAACTCTGGTATGGAGGTATGTTCGGCTGGTGAGTTCCAAATAGGGAAAAACTTGCATCGTGGATTGCACTACTAGCCACTATACAGCTACGCCTATAATCCTTACCAATAATTCCAATGTAAGGTGAGGCGTTATTGTTGGTTAAACTAATCATTATAGCAAAAATACAATGATTATCCTGCTAATGTTAAATGTAGGGAATTTCCTTTCAATAGGAGTGATATCCTAGCTATGATACATAAGACTAACATTTTTACGTTTTAAAGCAATCTTTATTATGACTAATTTAGGATAGATTACATCTGGATTGGAATGAATGTTTACAAAACCAAAGTATCTACGGAAAGCCCACAATGAACATATAGTACGGAACGAATGGTCAGCAAATTATTTAATTATTATTATTAGCAAAATCACACAAGCTATTTAATACAAAAATAATACACTAACGGAAGTAAGATATGGGTTTCATGCGAATTAAAATTCGACTGTTGTAGGTACTTATTGAAAGCCGAATCAATTTAAGATTTATTTAAAGTATTCACCCATACACTTTTCAATGGCATTTATCATAAATAATTAGTTATTTCATTGGATAGCTTAATGTTTAACTCAATTCTAAGTTCAAGAATGGTTACCTAATTGCTTTATTTCTATTGTATTTTCATTCTAAAGATTTAAACCACTTGAAATTAGAACTGATTCATTGGAATTGAATAATGAAGAGAACTATAATGAGATGTATTCTGAACCACTTCAAAGTTATTCAAATAAATTATTAATCAAAAGGTAAAATGAACATAACAATCAAAAAGCTTATAAGATGAACAACATAATCATTTTTATCAGTAAACTTAATGTAATAATATTTTTTAAACATAAAATGGATTATAATCAGCGAGGGATTCCGTGGATAAAAATAGTAATAATTTAATAGTTGAATTCACTAGTTATTTGAAGCTAGACCAATATACAGAACCTGGAAACACTGGACGGCCGTTTCATCCTAGTATGGGACTCCTCAGCAGCGTGCATCCACGATCCTGCCTCATGAGATTCGAACTCAAGACTTATCGATCTCGCGAACGCTCAACCTCTAGACCACTGAGCTGGCCGGCATCCAATTGCGATAATGTCTAACCTCAACCAGTCCACGAAATCGCGCCACCATCCACCACTGTCTTCAGTGAGTTATTATCTCACAACAGACCTGGTTGTACTCCCTTGGTCACGGCTTATCACTAGAACTCCAGGAAATAATTCTTCAAGACCGTCACTAGTGAACATATGATGATTATAATCAGAGAGTGGTTTTGTGGATATTATAGTAATTTAGTAGTTGAATTACAGTGATAAATTTTGATGTAATTTAATGTGAAGAAAATTCAAAGGTTAGTTTCCAATTTTTCTTAATTGATAATAATGAAATGGAAGCAGAAATATTGTAATCAAGTTTGTGAATAAACTTGAAGTCAACATTTTTCCATTTAAAATATTTAAACAGTAAAACGGCAATCGAATATAAATAAAGAATATCATTTTAAAGATATCAAACAGAAAGTATCATGAAGCACTAAAGAAATATCAAAGGAATGAAAAGTCAAATAATAAGTAGTCTAGGACCTGGGAGAGATATGTATTGGTTCAGGCCATACACTGCATATTAATACATTTAAAAGAAATTGACATGATGAAAAGCGAAGCAGTAGAAATGGTAGTAGCAGTAGAAATCATGGTGAAAGTTTACCATTTAGAAATAACTTTCAGAAGAATCTATGAAATCAAAGTATGAAAAACATGAAGTAACAGTAATTTCAAAAGTCATGAGATTTTTTGCAATTGATTAATCACTTGGCGATGATCAATGTCGTGTAAGGTCCTTCTTGGTGCAGATCGGATCCTAACGACCAAGTTACAATTTGGCTACAAGTCTCGGTAACTCGACATTGCGTGCACTATGTTGAGATAAGATGGCGGTTGGAGGTAGTCAACAGGAAACCCTGGACCTAGATATCTGCAAAGTGTACCTATAATCTTATGGGAACTGATGTTCCCCGACGGGTTCGATCCCGTGTCACCCGGAGACGTTACCACTGAGCTTTCCGGATCTACAGAAGGTCAGTCGCGGCCTTGCTGACGAGTGCCAAATAGCACGAAACTTAGGTCCAGGGTTTCCTGGTTCTATGTAACGACTAATTTTGGGTGACGGCATTCAACATTTCCGGCTATAAGATAGTGTTATCTTTGTGGATTAGATACAGATAATGAGAATCTGCTCGCAAGTTGTAGTTTTACGATCAATCACTTTATCTATTGATGGATGTTTTTCAACTATCATTTTATTATCCAACAAAGCAGTGATTATGTTAAAACTTCTGTCCGATCATCTCCATTTAACATACTTACTCGGCCCTAATCGAAATCGGTGAGGCAGATTTCGAGGTTACATCTCGATCGACGATGTCCAGTCACAATAATCTCTTAACCATCTTAACCTAAATAAAAAAGTCTGGTCACACCACCACCTACTTGATTGTCTCGTCATTAAAACGAAATGCTTCAAAGGAATCTATAAATCATTGCAAATAATCAAAGCATCTGTTCGAACTATAAAGGATACCGTTTAAAGATCCCCGTCCTATTAAAAGACTAATATTTGAACGAAGAATATTCTTTTCGATAAATTCTCTTCAGGTTCTTCAATTATATATCCAAATTAATAATCCGAAAAATGGCCAAGGTAAAGGCAAAGTACATCGTTTAGAGCATGTGAATTTAGGATTGTAATAAACAAAATACAATAAAATTGTTAATGTTAATACGACTCATATAGAATGTTCACTTGAATCAGCTTATATGTTAAGTAAATGAATCATGCATAGGGGAGATTAATGATGATGTTTAACCAATAATACGAATAATAATAATAATAATAATAATAATAATAATAATAATAATACAAGGATTTGTGAATAAAGATAACAGGGACAATTACAATTGACTACGAAAGGTCATAGTCAAATTAGGTCATTCAATAGTTAAGATTACGATTGATTAATTGGCCTTGATGTTGGCCAGGGAGCGAGTTATATTGGTCGAAGTTCTAGGAATTTACATTTTCGTGCTCGTGAACACCTTCCAGCGTGGCTAAACAAAGGTTTGATGAAGAAGGTGAACAGCTCAATATTGGCCCATTTAGTACAAACCGGTCATAGTGCCAGTATAAACCAATCTTTTTCAATTACTTATAAAGTAAGTAATTTTTGCCAAAACTGGTCAGACTGAAAGTCCTTCAAACGGCTGAAGCAGTAGCAATCCGGATGAAGAAACCGGAGCTGTGCGTGCAGAAGAAATATATTCAACCACTCCTCCTTCCCTGGCCAACATCAAGGCTAATTAATCAATCGTAATCTTAACTATTGGATGACCTAATTTGACTATGACCTTTCGTAGTCAATTGTAATTGTCCCTGTTATCTTTATTCACAAATCCTTGTATTATTATTATTATTATTATTATTATTATTATTATTATTATTCGTATTATTGGTTAAACATCATCATTAATCTCCCCTATGCATGATTCATTCACTTCGCATTCATCCCTCCGTATTACGTCTTACTTATTTGATCGAATTGTAATTGCACTATTATTTCTCTCTCACCCTATTTGACCCATATTTATTCTGATCATGAATCTTAAAATTTTACTTAACATATAAGCTGATTCAAGTGAACATTCTATATGAGTCGTATTAACATTAACAATTTTATTGTATTTTGTTTATTACAATCCTAAATTCACATGCTCTAAACGATGTACTTTGCCTTTACCTTGGCCATTTTTCGGATTATTAATTTGGATATATAATTGAAGAACCTGAAGAGAATTTATCGAAAAGAATATTCTTCGTTCAAATGTTAGTCTTTTAATATAAAGGATACGCTTAAAAGACGTAATACTTAACAAAATAATATATTATGTGGTTTTTTGCATGTAGATGACATTTCATCCGCCTCGAAGGTTGTACTGTTTGAGGAAAGTTATGGGAGGTTTTTGCATATCTCCAAATATAAGCCCACGTAGTATGATAAAGCTTCATGCATAACTGGTCAACGAGCCGAAATAAGTACATATTTGTAGTCGAATCGGGCATTCACTCATAATATTCTTGAAGTACTAATTCGCAGTCTAAGAGCGAGAGAAATGCATCCCAACCTTTACTCCATTATTACACAAAGTATACAGAAGACCATGTTATAAAATGTTCTGACTATATCAATCGAATATATATATATATAGCCAGTTGTTCTAAAAATAAAATGACGTAATCAATTTCCATTATTTTATTACAATTTAGAAGTCGCAATGAAAAAGTCAGAAGATTATCGTTTCAGAAAGTCTGGGAACAATTTGCTGCTTTTTAAGAACTGTTACCATTGATATTATTGTTGGTATTAAGATTACAATTTAGTGATTTGATATCATTACAACCGCCTAATACAAAATAAGTATTATCCTTCTCAACAATCAAATGTATTGGTAATTATTTTGTTCTAGAATCAAATGACGTGGTATATTGTACATGCAAACCCAACCCATTTAATTTTTTATGATAATAATAATAATAGTTCAATAAATTGATCACCCATATAATACGCCCTTTTTTCAATCATTGGAATTAATCTTCAGGGATTGATACATATGATTTTATGTTCATTCACTGTAAAAATGAATTCTTATTACATGCTAATAATCGACATTTGTAGACTATTTGTGGTGAAGTTTAGTTCATTTCTGTATACAGGTAATTTAAATAATCAGGTCATAACTAAGATAATGTATCACACGCAGGGTTTTAGCTTATCTGGTACAATTTCTGTTCGGGATAATAACCTCATGTAAAATGATAAGTGTGTATAATATTATTATTGTCTTTACATTAGATACTATGTTAAATTTACACTAGCAACCATTTATAATAATGATTTAGGTTTGAAATGGTTGATGAAAAAAAAGATCTTAGTAGGCTTTCGTCAAGTGCTCTCTACTTGAACACTGCTGATTGAGTCAGAGTGTACGAAGAACTGTCATCAGAATTTATAAAATCAAATGGTTTTCTTTAGGATTGTGTACTTTCTCCGTTTCAATTTGATTTTATTACAGATATTCTTTCGGAAAGGAAGCGTTTATTCTTTGGCTTTCCAGAGATTGATTCATCAACAAGTGGCTCATTTATCGACTTAGAATATGCAAGTGATATAGTTATTTTTGGTGAAGACTCCGATAGCATGCAACATTATGTTCGTACTGAATAACGATACAAGTCTGTTTAAGATGAGTTTTATTTTCTTCCTATGTGTAAAACGGAAATGTCAGGAAACGTCTGAGTCAACGCCTAGATTTGCCACATGGAGTGAGGTCTTTGCATTTGTCAATCATCTTGCTTATTGTTGACCTCTCATCAGATTTTATGTATCGGTGTTCTATTAAATCTCGGCAGGAGTTCCTAAGGGTCTGCTAGCTTTTACCAACTTTCGTCACTTGTGGAGTTGGGAAGATGTCCTCCTGTCAATTAAAGAACGAGCCTACTTCACGGTCGTTCGTTTCATTCTACGTTATGTCTGTGAAACATGATTTTTAGAAATTGAGGATATCCATAGTTTACAAGCACTTGATTGTAGATGTCCTCAATAGATTGCTCTTTTTTGCTAGGACCATCAAGGGGACAATACTAAAATTGAACTCAGAGTACAAAGCAGAGATGGTAAATCATTTAACAAGATATTGAATCTGCACAGACTGAGGTGGTTGGGATGTGTATTAAGTTTACCAAAACACCGCCAATCTTAACCCGCTATATTTACTGATTTAGTTGTGAGAATGCTCGGCACGGTCAAAACGAGATAAGGTGTCGGTTTACGAAATCATCTTATTTTGGCGTAGGCCCTCTTTGTAGGTGCAAATCACCTGTTTGGTGTCTACACGATTATAGTAACCAATAGTTGCCGATATGGCTCATAATTGGTTTTAATGGTGCCTAACTTTACATCTTTAGTTTTAAACTTTTCCTATAATTTTCAGTCTTCCGATGGATGCTTTCTTCCGGGATCATATTGTCTTTGAATAATATTTTGTACTACCATTAGTACTGTTAGTAGTTCTATTATTATGGCATTCGTCTTGATAATCTCATGTTGCTAAGCTGATATTATGAAGCGACATGAACCTATGTATATATGTGTCAGGATCTGTGTTAATTATGGCTGACTAACATTCATTTATGATACAGAATTTTGAAAGCCATATTCAAATAACGTGTTCTATAGAAACGCCAGTTTTTTAAGATTTTCAGGAGAAAATAATGCTTATGTTTTTCCTGGTCTATTGTATGCAGGAATTTTTAGAATGCGGAGATCCGGGTACTTTTACAACATTCAAATATTCCACTGTAATATTTCGAACGTAAAGTTATTCCTCTTGTGTAACGGCGAAAGAAGTATATTTGTGTATTATACATACAGGTTGAGTTTGGAAAGTCAACAGCTCAAATGACAACTGTTTACTTATTTAGAGTGTGCTAAATATTTTAGGAACTAGTTGGTAGGACAGATGATTAAGTGAGTAAGATATTTTCCAGTTAACAGCTAAGTTATTGTTTTTAGTTTATTTCGATTGTGGCTCACAGTACATGGATTCCAGAATTGATGCTCAGAGTAAGATTCAGAATTAGCGCCTATCAGTCGAACTGCCAACACACTATCGCCTAAGCTAATGGGAGTCATCTACTGAACTGATAGGCACTCCGAAACCCATCCCATCTGTTTGCAAGCACGACGAGGAACGGGGGCAGGTTTGTAGTAGTTTAGTCAACAGCTTACGCAATGATTGTGAGTAGTGCTGCGTAGTGAAATCTGAAGAAATGGAAAAGTCAGCATCGATAGGTAACAGTAGACAACTGTTCAAACTTATCAAAAAAGTAGGTGTTAAAAATTCGGCGGTTAGTGAAAATATGTCGGGGGATGACGGGACAATAATTCGACTTCAATCCAGGGGATTTGATTGGTGAACACGAGACTTCAGGGAGTAGTTCGACTGGCATTTAGTCACACAACAGTTGCACACCATCTCTAAGCAACCTGAATATCGAATTGATGTTAGTTTTCCAGCTCTTAGTGTAGTTAAAAAGGCTATTAGTATTCTAAAGTGAGAGAGAGCAGCAGGGCATGATTGATTAACCTCTGAGATTTTTCAGAATGATGGTTCAGTTTTGGCAGTTAGGTTAACCGAAATCTTAGGTAAGATCTGGGAAATGATCGAAGTCCGACCTGACTAGTCCCGATCACTGATCACTATAGTCTATAAGAAATGAGAAATATTCTCTTGTGATAATAGTAGTCTCAGTAATACCTTAACGTCTAACCAAAGCACGTGAAAAGCAAAACCCAGAAGACCAGGCTGGTTTCACACCTAAATATAGCTGTATAAAAATATATTCACCCTTTCGCAAGTCCTAGAACATAGACTGTGAAATTAGCTGTCATTGAAAGACGTTCCAACGAAATATTCAGGCTTGTTCGGGCTTCCTACCCGAACACTACTACTCAATTCAGAGCTTATGGCCAACTGTCATCGGAAACGATTGCATCAAGCGATGTTCATCAGGGTTTATTATATACATGCTTTTAGGCTTAAGACTTTCATCGTTTGACTTTTCAGTGGGTTGACCAGGAGATCCACCTGTTGACTTAGAATACGCAGATGATATTAGTCCTTTTTAGTGAAGACGCTGATCGCTTTAAATGACAATGTAAGTATATTTGAGATGCGGTTCCCTCCTTCCCTCAGGACTGGCCTACGTCAAAGCCTAATGATAGGAAGTGAAATAGTTGAGTGCATTAACTGCTTCATTCATCAGGGTAGTCCCATTGGTCCTGATGATTTGGAGTCAGGCGAAATCTCGGCGGGGATTGAGAAGGCTCGATTGGCGTCCGACAACTTGCGTCACTTGTGGCATAGGTTAGATATCCGTCTTCAAAACAAAAGGAAAGCCTACTGGACGGCAGTTCTTTCCATCCTACTTTATGGGCGTGAAACAGTAGTTTAGTGAATACTGTGTTGGCGTTCAAACCAGTGGAGATAGGCTTGAATTTGTATTGTAAGCATCAATAGTGGGTTATATGTACATTCCGAAGACGGATTTTGAATTAAACTGATTTAAGCCTTTTTTCATTAAAAGGCTATTTGAATCACCTCACAATGGTAAGGTGATATAGACAGGCTTTTTCTTTTTCAAAGCTTTAATCGGTCTCACTATACCATGAACTTTCAATCTATTTATAAATTTAAGAGGATAGCCAATTTCCATTAATATTTTATTTAGCAGCCTAACATCAGCATCAGTGGCGTCAATTGTACAAATACGATCATTGTGTTCAGATTGTTCGAATTGTAGTGCATTAATACATCACATAGTTCTGATAATCTTCGTCTTCTTATTACACTATCAAATTCATATATCTGTGTAGAGGTAAACAAGAATTACTTTCTTTTGTGGACTGTTGGTTTCTTTTTTATTGTAACGCAATATTTTTAATCAGAAACTATATAAATATATTCATCTCAATGTAAATAATAAGAAAATATGGTTGAATACAGAGTTATCTAACATCGAAAGTAAATTGTAATTCCATCACAATGCACTTACTTTTAATACAGATTTGTTTTGAATAAATTAAGTGGTCTCGCAATTAACTAATGAACAGCTTAATTCATTTTTGTATTAGTTACTTAAATCTTCCCATTAATGTTTAAAACTATAATTGATTAATCCCTTACTGTCATAATGTGCATCCTGTGCAGAGTGCTTCAATAATGAAATTTCAAAAGTTCCATTTGTGTTTTAAAAAAAGAACAATAGGTCTTTACCTTAAACGTATCCTTTCGATATTGATTCTTGTGGTGAGACCATAATTTATGCACGACCTTTGGATGACGCGACTGATATTGAGTGTTCACACAGTAATCAGGACCAAATGAGAGTTATAAACCTGTGTGAGAATTTAGAATTACGAATAACAGTTGTTGGTTAAAGTTAGGAATTAGATTTAGGATTTTTATAATGCCAAACCTCTGTTTATCCAAATGGATGAGCGAATTTCGCTCCAAAATCCAAGACCTATTATGCTCGACGTGATTGGTTCGTCCATAAATTGTAATTTCTCAATATCAACTTAATTTTTATAATTAGATTCATGGTATTTTAGTAGATATTAGATTACTGAATCAGAATGTTTGTAATGTATTCTCCGTTTTCATTGTATTTTTCAAACTTATTGGACATATGTCTATTGTAAATGACTTTTTCCAGTCATAATATACAAACAAATTATACGAAACACAGCGTAAATTTGGCACATTAAATTCTCTCTCTCTCATATATATGGGAATACTGATTATAATTCCTTCACTTGATTCATAAATTATTACTGCACTATACCTCAGTCTTCTTTTTCATTAGATATTAGTTTTATTTATTCATAAATATAAATTTTAATTTGGAAATTTCAATTACTGCTTTCCTACAACTACCTTATTGTTTGACTTTAAGTTGAATTTCATTATAAATAATCATTAAATGATCGTGTATTA